TATGTTTCCCAGCGACACCAATCAATCAGCTCGTCCGTTTCCGCGGCCATGCCGCGGTTACCAGGCGGACTACTCCCTGGACAGTCGCAGTGGGCAATCCTGGGTACGGCGTTGGGCCAATTAACTCTTCCATATGTCCGTTTTCAATAATCATCCCTCCTCAGCAACAGCTGTTCGATCACATTCCACGTACACATTCTTCGCATCAATTCTTGCAGATTCACCCACCTCCCCACCACTCGCAGCTCGTTCTATCATGTGTCTCCCTCCTCGACTGTCCGATGACCCGTTCCGCGTCGCTGACCACGACCGGCGGGCCGGCCGGTCGGTCCGGCACCGCTATCCGCCACCGCCGCCGCCGCCGGCACCAGCGCAGCATCCTGTTGTTCTCACCATAAAGCGCCGAGCCTGAGAGAGCCGAGATCCGAGCCGGCGATATGTTGAGCTGTGTTAGGTGCGATGCTCCACGCCTGTGGCGGCGCAGCGCTTCGCTGGTTTCTGACGCGCTGTGCCACCTTTCGCACCTGTTCAACGTCAGGAACATCGCTCAGAGATAAAACTTGAAACTAAACTCATATATAGGTGATAAGATACATAGCTAGAGAAAGTCCCCAGGGCCTCAGTTATGTGAATTGGATGATGGTGAGCGGTACTGTTACTATTTGGAGGCGGTCTGGTGTTAGCAATATCTGTGTAAGATCAATGCTCGCCCGCCTCTGCTCACAATACAGCTGGGCGGTGTTCCAAGTTTCACTTTGCCTTATCAGACCCGGAGAGAGCTCAGTCTGCCTCCCCGCTGGTCTGCCTTGCCTAACGTCAGTGAGTTGTTTCAATGACCTGCTTGCTGGCCTTTCCGTCTGTGTTCGTCCATGCAGTGTTTTGCTATGAAAATCCCAACTCTGTCTATCGTAAGATTCAGTGTCGACGAAGAGGTACAGAGATGACAACTGCAGGACGGTTCCGAATGAAAAGCTTGACCAAGGGCTTGTTACGTGTAGATGAAGATAGATTTTAAGCATTTCTTGTACTGAATCTCACCAGCAGCAGACCCACGATGACGTGAGTTACGGGATCTCCGAGCAGATGGTCCGTGACGATTCTTTTGGAGTTCGGGAGCCAGCCGCAGCTGACGCCCGATTTTCGGCAGGAGATGTCGAGGTGTTTGAATGAGTAACGGCCCCGGAGCCATCGGCTCGTGCCTGACTGCGTGCCAGAGGAGTCCCTTTATAGCGGAACGCCCAGGCAAAGAAAATGATTACAGTTGTTAATGGGAGCTCCGTTAAATGTTTTTGTCACGAAACAACGATGTATGATTATCACGAATAATAATTGACGACGCATGATGCTGAGAAAACATAGATAAGGTATAAAGTAGCAGATTTGTTTTGTCTTCCGTCAGCTGAAAGACATGAAATCACTTCCTGCTGCACAGCCTCACACTCTCGATATTCGATAGCATCCCCGTAATTATCCGTTATTTCCAGCACCACCCAGTCCCACACCTATCAGATAGCAACCATTGGTGATCGAGATTATCCACGACTAATAGCAAACATTAATGAGAAGCACTGCCCAGCTCTCTCAGCTCCAAGCATCACTGACCGCCGACGACCAATGGTGTCCGCCGCGCACTTCCATTGTCCACCGTCCGCCTGTGCCGGACCGACGCTCTAATCTGCCGCACCTGTTACGTGAACTGAAAGTGGTGGTAGCCAGGCCAACCATCTGTCGTGGCCAGCGCCGGTCGACAATGGCCACCCTGTCCACGTGTCGTCGTGGACATGGAGCGAGACAGGTCTAGATGGTATCTGCAGTTCGTAAACTGTCAGATGGACGTATCTTGACGGGACTCCTGAGTGGTCTGGTCGACGGCACTTAATTTCCAATCAGACGATTGATGATTCTTCGCGAGAATTCAAGCAATGTCATAATTAAACCGTTTTATCTTCTTACATTGTAAAACAGCATGCCAGTTTTATTAACATCTAAGCCACTTGACCGGCAATGCCCTATCGTTTGAAGCCATGTGGCGTGATGGCTGGAGACAGCCGAGGGACGAGAATGGTCGCTGACAGCGTGGTACCGTCAGTCCTTTGTGCGCGCACCGTCATCGCATCGTTCATCACCCTCAGTCTGCGGTCCGGCCGTTGGCACCGGGGTTCGGTGGACCCGGTCCGACCAAAACAGAGACGGAGGGAAGGCTGGACAAGCTTCTGGGCTGGTGGGAGCTGGTAGGAGAGGGCATAATCGTTGTTGGTTTGAGGTTTGTTACAAATAGCCGTTGTAGGAAATCAAGAAAGACGGGTATGTCCTTATATTCAGCAAGGTTGTATGCAACTTATGCAATGGGTCATGAGTTGTGGATGCCTTGCCTTCTCTATATTTTAAGCCAAAGAAACACGTTGAATTCTGCACTTTTATTGTTGTCTATGTTTAAAATGGCATTCCCAGAAAATGTACTTGCCTAAAGTCGTTAATTATTTCATTCCATTGTCCAGCATGATAATAAGGCACGCCTTTATCAGCTAAAGACACACAAGCGTCTTGGCTGTGTGTCACTGAACCGGCTCAGTCACTTTTCGCCATGTCTGTTACGGTGTGCCTTCTCAGCCATGCGATCATCGTCACGGTTCGCTCAGCTCATCTGAGCAAACTGCACTTTCTACAGCCACTTATATCACATCCGTGCTATGACCAATGGTCGTAACCTAAACGAAATCGGGCAGTAATGCAACTCTCACTTACCCAATTAGCTTGATAGTTCATGGGGGTCATGTGCACCTGTCATCTTTGAAATACCTCAGCATGATCGGAGGAATGGAAGTTTCACTTTCAGTCTAATGCAGAATGTTGCAAAAAGGCCTTGCTGCATGTTCACAGTCTGTCGAGTTCGCATTGCTAACGGTATTTGACATCACGACCACATGCATGTTGTAATCTGTCGCAAGAATGCCTTAGATCTGAATGTGCCATGCATCATGACGCTAGCCTCACCGTTTTAACACCCTTTCTGTGGTTCTCGTGCGTCAGAGTGGCTCTGTATTTTTGTGCGTCAAAGTGGCTTTGGTTCCGTCTACTAGATAGCATTGGGAGTTGGGACGATAGCATTAGGGACCCCGGGACTCTTAGCTCGCTTTAGTTGATCTCAGCTAGTCCAGTTCTCCTCACTTATGACATCCTCGTCTCGTCATCTAACCTTCTATATTCATTTTTTCGTCTACTTTCTGTCTTTCAGCCTTCCCCGCCCTGTTTTCCTCCCCCGTCCGTCATGCCTCTCTTTGGCCCGTCTCGGTTCAGTGGCCGATCCGGAACGGCGCACACAGTAACTGAGAGAGCGAGAGATGAATCCAGGTCCGAGCTAAATGGCCCATGGCCCGGCTCGGCCGAGCGAGGAGCCCTAGAATACCCAGATGGTGGCCAGACGCACCGGTACGGCACGCGCAACGGCGGCGAGCAGGGCAGGCTGGCAGGCATCGCCAGGCAAAAGATCTGACTGGGGAGGAAATACACTGCAGTGACGATGGCTATGATAGGAGAGGTGAAAGAGTACGTTTTGTAGACAATGGTCTCCAGTTCTGCCGTTTTCTATGGTTCTGGTGGCCCACGGTTAACGGTTTGCAGAGCCTACCGGAACAGTTAATAGACGGAGAGTCAGCGAGTCAGCTGTCATTGAGTCAGCGAGTCGGGACCAAACCGGAAGACCGAAAATGCCACTGATGAAAGTGGAATTAGAAATAAATGAATGCGAGAATATGCCGGCAGTTCGTGACACTGGTGCATGCAAATAAGGCATTGTGTAACTTGCCAAACTATTGGAAAGACGCACTGGATCACCATGCAGAAGTGTGACGCATTTTATTTATCGGGGGCAGTTAAAGGTAGTGTGCCAGCTTTCTTGGACCGTATGGAGTTAATGGCCCAGATAAGGAGAACCGGATTTTTAGAACTTATCCATGCCTTCAAAACTCATGGAAACGTCTTAAATTCTTCAAATTTTGAGTACCCCAGTGCGAAATTCGCCCCGACGGGTTGTCGGTCGTACCCCAACCACATTTCACACCACTATGAACAATAAATGCACACACTGAAATCGCTATTACCGATATGCTCATCCAATCAAGTTTCGATAAACCCGTTCATCATCATCTCCTGCGGTTTCGAACACGCCTGTTAGGTGGCTTCTGATGCTCGTCGAGGTCGGAATTTCCAAATACGCGTGGTGCGTCGGGCCGCGCGCTCTGACTTCGGCCAAGAAAAATGCGTCAGCTGATCATTGTCATTTCTGCCACTTGCGTGTGGTGAAATGGGGTCATAACTTATAAGACGGCTTTTTCATATCAATTATTTTACATAAAATCATATTTCAAACCATAAATAATGTTCGACAGCCAAATAAAAGAAACAATACCAATACGGGCTTACAGTTTAAGGCTCGACATTGTGTTGTCTACGATTAGACAGCTGATAACTCATTCCCGTACGTCGTATGGTCGTAACACTATAATGACCTTTGCTTATTGTCACAAGTGCGCCGCATTCGCGATTGTTGCCCGACGCCTGTTTGCAGGTGAGCCCACTACAGTTGTTATACATATCTAAAAACCGAAAAACTTTTAGGCGAAAAAGGCACTATTCCAGGCCCATTTTTGATTTTTTTGCGATATTATGTAAAAACAGAAGCTTCTTATCCTAGGAAAAATAAAATGGGAAATCTTTCAAAGGTGGCACACTACCTTTAAATGCATACACATTCGTACATTATAACTGCGCTGTGTAGTGATGTGACCTCGGTCCTCATACCAACAGTTGAAGGTACACAAAATAATAACTTTTGCATTACCATGCATAAAATGTAACCCATCGTTTTTTTCTGTCTTTCTCCGTCTGATTCATAAGCTGTCTTTTCTGTAGCCAAGCTTAGCTGTAAACTCCATTACTTTTCAGCCACTCAAAATTGCTATACAATTCGTCTGACCGATTCCGTTCTCTCTCGTTCACAGCAAGCGATGCGGGCGCGGCAGCGGGTGACGGACCGCGCGGACGAGCCCGAGTCTGGCTCTCCGCCGGTTGACACCGCCGCCATCTCCTCCAACTTCAAGCAGAACCTCACATTCTTCCAGAAGGCGGCCCACAACCTGACCCGCTCTACGCCCCCGGCCCGCAGCCGTCCGACGCCGCGCCGCAGCTCCGTCGGCTCCGACGGCAGCTCCGGCAGCTCGGTGGCTTCCGCGGCCTCCGTCGGAGATGACGACTTCGAGCCGGTGCTGTTCGTCAACGGACGACCCCGGTACGTGACGTCAGAGGCGGCGAGCGCGCCCATTGGCGGAGCGCCCGTGTCGGCGGCCGGCGCCGCGGACGGCCCGGCAGTCGACGACGGCGCGCGGACAGCGGCGGAGCGGACCGACCGCGCTGCGCAGAAGGTGCGGATCGGGGGCACGGCGGCAGAGCGGATACGGGCCGGTGGAAAGAGCGCTGCGGAGAGAGCGGCCAGCAGCAGCCCGGCGCGCTCTGGACGGACGCAGCAGCCCACAGCTGCCCAGAGCTCGGTGAGTGATACGTCAAGGGAGAGGAGCTACGACTCGCGCGAGAGATCGTCCAGTGCGCCGGCGAAACGAGAGAAACCCTCAGCGAGCTCGCACTCCAGTGAGAGACTTTCTTCGACCACTCCCTCAAAGCGGGAACGTGCCGGCTCGAACGACTCCTCCTCCATTGCGGAGAAGCCATCAAGTCGCAGTTCGTCTAGACGAGACTCTGAACGGCAACTGAGCACAGACTCTGACCAACCCGCAAATAACTCAGAGGTTCAGCCGCCGAGACGGAAGCCTTACATCCGATTCGGCTCAGTTGAAAACCATCTAAGTCATGACGACTTGACGTACTTCAAGCAGACGATCGGCATCCTCCCTGGCGGCGGTGGTATCACACGCACTCAGAGCTGTCAGGAGGGTCTGGACTCTCCCGCTCGGCCCGCGCCCGTCTCGCGCACGCTCAGCTTCAGCTGTCTGGCGGATGTGGGCGGCGAGCCGCGGTCACTGAGCGGCAGCAGGACCAGTCTTCGGCGAGCTCCTTCCGTTGAGGAGATCCTCGAGTCGGTAAAAGCCCTTCGCGTGAAACGCCAGCAGGACGAGATGGTGCGAAACTCAGAGCCGGAGGCTGAGTACCAGAACGTGGGTATCAAGTCGTCGTCGCGTTCTGGCAAGGGCCGACCTGCGCCCTGGAGCGGAGTGCAGTTCAGCGGACCCGTTCGTAATGTCGAGTCCGACGACCCAGCGCTGACACCCGACGATGCCTGTTATGAGAACGTGTCGGCTGGCGGACAGGCTGTCTATCAGAATTCTCCGCTGAAGTCAGAGGTCATTTACGACCAGCCGGTGAAGCAGAGACGGAGACGCCGTAAGACGCCCGAGGAACCCCAGCAGCTTTACGAGAACGTGCAGTTCAGCGACCAGACCGGCGGCGAGTACCAGAACACGACTCTGCTCTCCAAGTCGCAGCAGAACCTCTCTGAGCCGGACGCTGTCTACGAGAACGTCGAGAAGGGTGTCGTCTCCGTATCCGGAAACGGTCTCCTCTCATCGGGTCAGTATGACGTTCCACGTACGGCGTCGCACATCTACGACGCGCCTCAGCGCACGCGCATCAAGAACGTGCAGCCGGCTGAGTCTGGCGAATACGACTCACCTCGGCCGACGTACGGACCGGGCCGCTCGGAGCCGCTGCCCACCCGGTCTACACAGATCGTCCTGAAGGGCGGCATGGCGGTGCCGGCGGTGGAGCAGGCACAGGATTGTGATCGCGACTCACTGGACGGTGACGGAGGCCGGCGGCCCGACATACCGTCACCAGGTGGGTGCTGTTCCGGGGGGAGAGTGGGTGGTGTGGGGACACAACCTGTTTATAAATGTTGGAGGAATAGGCACTTTGAAAGATATAGGCACCTTGTCTATCAGCTAGTGAGATAAATCGTTCAACTACCTATTAAGGATGAGCGTTGAAGAGCTCTTATAAATTTTGCGCTGACAGTGCTTTTCATTTCAAACGTGTCCCGTCCTTTGAGCATAAATTCAAACTAGCCAATTAGGGAAACTAGCCAAGCCAGTAACTATATTCAGAGCGCTGGTTTTCTCGTCAACTCACGGCCCACCTGACTGCAGGCGCGGTGGCACTGTTTGTCCCACATTCCAGGCCGTCAGGCCGCTCTAAAGAGCCCGTTAGTCGATCGCCGCCCGTTCCGGCTCGCTGTCCTGTGAGCTGAGTCATATCGCGAGGCGTAATAGCTAGTCAGCTGCAGACGACGTTATCAATCACACATCAGCGATGCCCGATTTAGTTCGAAAGCCACCGCGTGCTAAATAGATAGAACCATGGACGAGATGTGTTATCTGTAAATGTAGATGTAAAACTAGCTTCACGTCCCGAGATCTCGCTGAACCGAACCGGACACGCTATCTCGGGCGCATTGCTCCTGTAACCACTTCCGCCACCTTCTGGGTGATGACTCACCCTGGGTTTTATCCGGCAACATTTTTTCCTTTATCCGTTCGATCAACTTCCAAGTGATCTACTCGACCTGACATGAAATCCAACTAGTCCTCTCTAGTCCTTACATCTAGTCAGTTGTCTAGGACGACACTCTCGCGCTGCTTTATCTTACCTTGCTCTTTTATATCGAGTCTTTTACTTTTTAGTCTTCGTATCTAGAAGGTTCTCTCTTTTGACACACTTGTTTTATTAAAACCACGTTATGGGCGCAAAATGACCTAAGTAGTCGGCGCGCCCTAAAGCCCCAATTAACAAACAAACAAACACGTCCCGAAATATAAACTCACGTAAATTGTGATTAGGTAACGAGTCAAATAATCGTAACAACTTCTTACGGATAGTGGATAAAAAACGGATGAAAAACTATCGGTTAGATTTTTGCTCAAACATCTAGCATCCCTATAGCCCCCCCCCCTTCCCCCCACGGCGGAGAAGATACCAGGAAATATCGGCATACCGAGTGGAACGGTTCCATATCAGTAACTTGTCACCTTTTCCATGCATAATTCGCGTCACGGAAGGGTAGAAAATCGTGCTGTGTTTTTCCGTTAATGTTTGTGTTGGTGTTCCGTTAACTGTCGACTTCCAAGAGTTCACCCTTAGCGCTTCTGCAAACGTCAGAGTTATTGACCACGAAGAAATGCGCTGAGTCACTTGACATATTGACTCGTCAGTTAGCTCCTGCATTGGCATGACAGTCTGATGAGCGGAGCAACTTCACGATGCACATCTTGATTAACTGAACACCTTAATTTAGTTGGTTGATCCCCTACTCGATTCAGTCATTGAGGGACGCTTCTGCATAATTGTTAATTGTTCATTACCCAGTGCTCATAGTGTCTTATGTTGGGCTGTTGGAAAACGGTCTTTAGTCTGACGCCCTCTCACGTATCCAGGAACACAAAAAGGAAATGCTTTCACTTTGTACGATTGTTATACGTGCAGCGATGAAAATCAAGCACAATAGTAAAGACAAACGAAACCGACGCGACAATATGATCCCATGTCGAGATATAGTAAACAGAAAGCCCTTACAAAAGCAGGCTATATCAAAGACAATTGCGAAAGTCATGGCCCGATTCCCTCCGGGCTACATGTGGTCACAGCTCATTTTGAAGCGATCGTTTTTAGTGATGGAGCCGAGTCCGAAGATGGTATGTGAGTTTGCCGTGGACACAGTCATGACGCTGTTCGTAATATCTGAAAGTGGTTCGCTCGACAGACCAGCAAGACTCGAAAACAATCTTCATAATTAAAGCCTGGGACATTTATAGCGCTGCGACAGTCAGATGTCGGTGATCTATCAGTAAACGGCCTTGAAACATACTTGTGATCTTCACGGATGCTGCACTTCCGTGACATTATTGCGTGATGCTGAGCTAAACGCGAGACACGTCATGTTTAGTGGTAACTGCTTATGTTGAAGTCGAGGAATATGAGCGTGGTCAACATAGATTTCGCGGATTCTCTCTGAGTGAAATCCCGATCGCGTTTTCCTGTCACGTGCGCCTCACCATAAATGATAAACGAACGAACTAACATCGAATAGAACCAATAGACCAACAGAGTACGGGACAGCGGACACAACTGTCTCAGTCAGCTGTTGTCGCCTTTTCTGCCCAACAGACGTCCGCAGTCCACCGCCTCTGGCACCCTGTCCCAATCAGCGCTGATGACCGCGCGTGCGACGCACCCCGCGGCAACGCCGCGAGACATTCCATGATCATCACCCAGTCCGTTAGTTCGCCGCGTGTGTGTCCGCGAGTCTGGCGCGCAGTCTGCGCCCGTTATAAGTTACAAGACGACTCCGCCCCGACCGCCACAGCGCCTGCTCGAGCCTCGTGATCAGCGGCTGGTCGCGGGTTTCCGTTATCGGCAGGAGCGAGCGCCCGTCTGACATCTGTTGCTACTGACACGCGCGGGACTCGCGGGCTGGGACTTCAGACGCTTCGGGACGGTGCGGGACCTGCGGGCTGGAACGTGGGACGTGCAGTGGGACGTCGTGAGACGCTCTGGAACGACGCGGTGCGTGTTGAGCCACGCGAACAGCTCTGTCTTTGCGTTGCAGGTGGATCGCTCATTCCCAATTGCGACTGCTGCGGTATGTGTGTGTGTCTAACTGGCGTCTGCTCTTGTAACTCATGCATAATTTCATGAAGAAAAGAGCGAAAGTGCGAGAAATTATGACCACTAAAATGATCTTGTTACCCGTTTAGGCACTCAGCTGCTTGCGAAGCACCGATGCAATGTTCTGGCGCCGAAGGGCTCTGGTCAAGATGTGGGAACTGCTTCCGACTAAAATGACCAGGAGTGCGACCGACACTGCGCGGACCGTTGTGCGGCGGAGCTCCAGCGTCGCACACGGTGTCGCAGATGGTCAGGTTTCTCACGAGTGCCAGTCCTTGGCTGGCTTTCGCTCGAGAGATATCAGGTTTTAATTACCGTGAAATTCCACAGCTTCTGTCGCCAGTCTTGCGCAATAGGTTTATGGCAGACATTTTCGTCGTCCAGAGGAAGTAAGTGGTGCCTAGAGTAAACCTGGACGCATAAAACATAAAGATGAACGAGCAACATCTGAGTTTTGACCATAGGATGAATAGAAAAGTGCTTAACTAAAATAATTTGAGTACTGGCAAGGCAAGCGAAATTTTCCTCCTAACGAATGCATTTGAAATGCGAACAAACAGCACGGTACGTACCACATCAGCAAGCGTAACCGGGCTACCTAATTAACCAATATTAAGCAATCCAGTCCTATTCCTATTACACAAGACTCGAGAGAAACATAAAAGTAAATTCCTGGCACGTAACGGACACCGCCCTTTTCCCTCTTCAGCAATACGCTTCACACGCGTTAAGGGTGCGTTAACTTCGGAGGTGGCTCCGCTCAGCGTTGGTGTCCGAGCACTACTACTCCGATTCTCAGCCAGTAGATGTCACCAGGGTAGAGCGCTTTTTTCCCACGTTAATGGCCTTCTCCCCCTCCTCATTTCACGGCCCTTACGATAACGACGTTTGGTTACTGCGCCGGCGCGACGGGCGGCGCCGACTGAGGGAGATCATGGTGTGTAAACACCGCGCGGACGGAACACGTCTCTGAGGTCTCTCGACGAGCCTTCCCGGCGCCGTCCTTAGCCTGGTGTAGGTACTTACTTACCCAGTTAGAACGAAACTGATTAATTGATATAGATACATGTTATCGAATATTGAGTCTGCCGCAGCTCTAGTCACAAGAGTGCGTCTGATATTCTCACATGATTGACCTGACGGCAGTTATAGTGAAATGCAGTGCTAGATTCGCAATCGCATTGCTACACAGTAGGCCAGTAAAACGCCTTATAGGGCGATAAACGGAGCGAACGAGAGGATCGGCCGTGCAAGTGGGAAATTGTGAGGGGTACCTCCAACTGACTAGTGCACGGCACCCTACTAACCGCTCTCTAGCAATGTGCCATATTTGAGCACAATCGTTCCCCAACTATGGACCCCAACTGACTTTTGCACGGCACGCTACTAACGGATCCCTAACCGTTAACCAAATTTGCATATCCATGTGCCAAAGTTGGGGTGCTGCTGCACATGCGCACGTGCAGGAGTCGTTTCCAGATCTCGAGAACGGCTGGACCGATGGCGCTCAAATTTGATACACGGTTAGGGACCAGTTCGTAGGGTGCCGTGTACAAGTCAGTTGGGACCCATTCTGCACGTGCGCACGTGCAGGGTGCCGCTTCCAGATTTGGAGAACGGCTGGGCAGATTGTGCTCAAATTTGGCACATCACTAGAGACGGGTTAGTAGGGTGCCGTGCACAAGTCAGCTGGAGGTACCCCCTCGAAATTTCGCACGTGCAAGGCTCACCCTCTCGCTCGCTCCGTTAGTCGCCCCAAAAGGCGTCATACTGGTTCGTTATATTGAAAAGACTTAGCTTGCTTCGCTCGCTCCGTAACAACAACGGGAAGTTCAGCATCTATTTTCTCATTTGAAGCTAAGCCCCATGCGCACAATCTTATTTTATTGGAGCAGACTATGAGCTGGAAGATTCGTATTCCATTTCTCATCCATTTCTCATTTGAAAGCATGTCGTTTGAAGCTAAGCCCCATGCGCATAATTTTTGTTATATCGGGGTAGACTCTTGACTGCAGAAGTAGGTACAAACTACAAATATTACAAAAAATCAAGTTAACCTAGGGGAAGATGGGGGAACACCGCCCTTTGGGAAACACCGCCCACCCCGATATCAGAAATATAAAAAGGTCTAGGGCGACAGCTGACTGTCTTTTGGCAGCGTGACGACAACAGAAGTGCAGGTGTGGGCAGTGCACCGCATTGGTTTAGGTGATTTGCGAGGAATTCCAAATTTTACTTTTCGTGAATACGTTTTATACTTTTTGTAGCATAATAAGCAGAAGAGAACTGATCTTATTTGACAAACATTAGCCCTGAAGTAGTATTTTTCGCCATAATTAGGACTCCTCCATGCATTACGTACTCCTGCTCGAGCGAAATTTTTGTCGTGCAGCCATATCGAAGGATTATTTAGAAAAATGTAGACACTTGGGTAACACCAGCCCCCGTTCACGAGCTCCAGAATCCCTTTACCGTGACGTCACCACGGGGGTAGAATCTCCCTTCACCCATAGGCATGTATGCAAATTTAATCATCTTTCGAGCGAGCTGGATAAAAAACCAAGGACTATGTGTCATCAAAAGTTGTACCAATATAACAATGAGTTCGCCTCTTTACGAAAAATGGGGCTGAAACTGAAAAATAGACTATATCGAGCCAAAATCAGCAATTCAAATGACCCCTTCATTTGAACGTGAAGGATTTTCTCTGATGACGTCACCACGGCGCCTTTGATTTCCCTAGTGAACCAACCTGAGTAGTAAAGGAATCTTGGGTAACACCGCCCACTTGGGAAATTTGGTATTTAATATATTTAATAGCACATTGTGACACCTAACCCTGGAGTGGTGCATTTCAAATAAAGAAAGAACGTTGTCGCTATGTTTTCTTTTTAGAGGATAATGAAAATTTTCGAGAAAAATAATTTTTGTGACTTTAACCCGGCACCGCCTGGGCTATTTCCGTACCCACGACAGCCTGGGGGGGGGGGGGTCGGATCCGACCCCCCCCCCCACTGTTATCTCGAGAACCAATGGTCGTATCGAACCCCGCGAGGCGGTGTTCGAAAGGTCTCTACGAGACCTTCCCAAAGCACTCTTAAGATTTTAAGATTGAGGTCAACTTTCGGGTCAAGGTCAGGTCAAAGGTCAACTTCTGGGGTTTTGCATGTTTAGGCTTACGGACAGCGGAATCGATAGCTGCTGCTCAAAACTCACCAAAAATGACCTCAAAGGCCTAGTGAAGGTACCATGTGCGTATAGGGGTCATACTAAGCACGGGTCAAGGTCAGGTCAGGTCACGAAAGGTCACGGTTTTCACTTTTTACTAAATGGGCGTGCGACACATGTTTTACGGCTTATTTTTTTACGCCGAATCCGATGGTAATGGTTATATGTGACCCCAAGTTACTGTGCTGGTGATAAGTGTGCATTGAAAGCATAAAAATTCGTTTATACCATACATAACTAAACGAGGGCTAAGAAAAAAGGTCAATTTTTCAACTTTTTATTTTTGACATAAAAATGCACTTTTCTATTACGAGCTTTGTCCCAGGAATCTAGTGGCAGGGCTGCGGAGTCGGAGTCGGAATCGGAGTCGGTCGGAGTCGACAGTTGTGACCGGAGTCGGAGTCGGAGTCGGAGTCGATTTTAGAAACCCGAGCCGGAGTCGGAGTCGGAGTTACCGAAAATCTGTCGACTCCGCAGCCCTGCTAGGTCTGCGGAGTCGGAGTCGGGAGTTGGAGTCGGTCGGAGTCGACAATTCTGCCCGGAGTCGGAGTCGGAGTCGGAGCTGGTTTTTGAAAGCCGGAGTCGGAGTCGGAGTCGCCGAAAATCCATCGACTCCGCAGCCCTGTCTAGTGGTGCCATTTGTTTTCACCTGCGATGTTCAGAAGTGCCTCTAATTCACGAAAATGCTTATGAAGTCACCATGCCCTATGCAATATGCATGTTGGAGCTATTTTTTACAATTTGGTGGTCAAAAATCAAGATAGTTGAAATTTGGGACATCGAATGTTCTAATAGAGCTCTATAACATATATTCCGGTTTTTTGTTAATTCTCAAAATTTTGGATTTTATTAGCTGTTTTCCAAAAAATATAGTTTTTTGAATTTTTAGGGGTGAAAAACGCATTTTATGGAAAATCCGAGATAGCCATTTAAAAGAACTCGTTGAGCTGCGTCTGTTCATGTCCTTAATTTGAAATTTGCTTTAAACCTTGATTTTAAGCGATTTTTTAAATATTTATCATTTTTGACTGAAAACGCCATGTAGTTACATCACTAAAATCGATATATCTCAAATCAAAAAAAAATCTTAAAAATTACACAGGAGACGTCAAATTGATGGGGGAGAAGGTATGCCAAGTTTCAAGTTGATAGCGTAAGCGGTTCATGAGTTATTCAAGAAAAACGGAGGGGGGGGGGGGTCGAATCCGACCCCCCCCCCTCCCCCAGGCGGTCGCGGGTTAAGTCATCTAGTTATATAAATGAGTAGGTACTACATTGTACCAGAGATATAATAAGATCGTTTCCACTGTATTTTATAAATAAAGGTACTAAAAAGTCTCGAAATTTACGATAAGAAGAACAACTTAATAGTCCAGCAATCTGCAAATTTCGTTGCCTGCTGAGCTCGGGCGGTGTTACCCAACAGTCGGTGTTACCCCGAAAAATGTAGACATTTACTAAATGATCGCTATACTAAATCGCTATACAAATGCAGCTTCAGAGTACTATGCGATTGTGAAATTACTAACGTATAGACAGACTGGCCACAATCAAATTCAAGCATGCCATCACAGTTCACATTTAATACCCATGTTTATTTAAGGGGGAAGGTAAATTATAGGCGCCAAGGTTGTTAGTTGATAACCTGTGTATCGATGTGCTATTCATATAAAATCTACTAATCTCATTCGATCCATCCACCATCCGTATTTTCCTCCGACAACCCCGTGTTCGCTTCTGTTCCGGCAGAGTTTCATGGCCACCAGCGCACGCGGGAACCCCAGACCGTAAATCACCGTGTGTTGACAGTCCCTCCCCGCCGGTCGGCGCGACTCGCGGGTTTTATTACATGGGGGAACGGCAGGGACCGAGGCGGAGACCCATACGACATCTAGCGGCACTCCCTTGAACCAACAAAACAGTCAAAAAGTGGATATGATTCGGGCTTAATTCCAGTCACAGCTCCAACATTTCTGAAAAGTAAAATTCATTTTCGTGTGAAGAAATGTTCTGTGCACATTTCTATGTAGCCACTTTTTTATTTTATGCCTCACACAAAAAATAAAAGATGAGCAAAGTTTTACTTTCATTTTTTGCAACATTGCAAAAAGAAAATGGAAAATCGGAGTACATAGAATTGTTGTCCACTTTGAGGATATGCGGTTGCCATTCATTTTTTGCGCCTAGTTTGAATGACGTTTAATGAATTTCGGCCCAAACTTTTCAGTTTTTCCACCTTTATCGTGCAATATCAACGTGAATATTGCACGGAATCAAACAACTTGTCCAGAGTAGGCTTCGTATACTGTTGGAGCAGGTACATGCCAAATTTGAGGCTAATATCTCTATCGGTTTTCAAGATATTGCGGTTTTTCACCTCCCATTGACTTAACATTAACATCGCACCCTTAAAACGTCCATGAGAAAACAATCGAGAAACTCTCAGCCAACCTCTCAATCTAACGGGCTGTCACGTAACTATGTAATCTTTTCAAGCTCATTGCCAGTGATCGACCTCGCCCTCGACTCTCTCCATTCACTCGTGTTATTTTATGTCGATTTCAGATTACGGAAGCGACGGGGACGATGTCGATGGAATCCCCAATGACTACATTGGTGATGATCAACTGGACGAGGGACTCGGCGAATCGGACGCCAGGAGCTACTACAACGAAGATCCAGGTGAGTCGACAGGCTTCCGACATCGCTACTTTGGTTTATTTATGTTAAGTGACGCCTAATGTGACACATATGACACACACTTCGCATTATTATACTGGAAAATGTGTGACGATATGAAAGCAGTCTGTATGGGTACGAGTATAATCTACATAGCTGTGTAAGAACGCATGCATGAGTAGGCCCGTAGACGTCTTATTAGGCCGACGGCGTGCGTAAGTATGACAGTAACGAGTAGCAGACGCCGTTATCGAGCCGGGCGGGACCCGCCTAACTAGGCGCTGTCCCACCGATCTCCCACGATAGTTCCACGCCGGGACGCGGTCCATAGCTGGTGGCAGAGGGATCCACCCACCGTGAAAGAGGAGCGGCTATAGGTACCGTTCCGACCGCCGCCCGAGCGTGGCTTGGCTTTGCCTCCGGGGAACAATGTGTCTCCTAGTCACCGACTGTGTCTGGGCCGAGGAGAGTGGTACTCCGTCCGTACCGTTCATCGGCCTGAGGAGTTATGTATTTATCGCCAGCAAGCTGGCTAGCCGCTGGGTGGAGCATTTTGCCGCAAAACAGGCAGAGAAAAGACAACATAAAGACTGCGTTTCTCTGAACGAACGCCCACATCCGCCAGTTACCTGCACGGCACAGAGTATAATCGGTGTGTAAACATGCATGGGAACGACGCGTTGTGCTGTCGCCACAGCGGGTGTGGTTTGAACTCAATGGGCCTGTTTGTCGGTGACCTGGCCTACAGAGGTGGGACATGGCGCGGACTGGATTCGGTGTCCACCACCGTCGACACGCATACGTTCACCGCAAACAAAACATCGGCTTTCGAACTGTCGGGACACCCACGATGCTGGCCACATACAAAAACCTATCTGCCTTTTTAAGCGAGCCAATGAGGAGAACTATAACGACTTTTAGTCACCGGTACCTATACGAGGCTGAGAGCAAATGAGACATCGAGACTCGAGAGCATTTCACCCCAGTGGTAGAAACTAAAGCAGAAGCGCTTGTGTAAAACGGGAGTCTTTCTACACCTTTAAATCGTTCGACACCTTCACAAACGCTGTGGTAGGTGAGAAAGCGCCAGACTTCTGGCCACAGAGATGGCCGACCGACCTCTCTCACCTCTCACCGACTCACTCTCACCTTCTACCGCTAGTCGTGACTCAAATACCTCGTCTGGCATGTCCAGACCAAGCCATAGGTACCACGTGACTGACCCACGTGGCCGAAAGGTATGTCAGGACAACATTCCACGTACTTTTGCTTTTTCTAGCGTGATTACCACCTGACGACTTTGTCGCCGTCCTGAGCGACAGCTGACCGACTCTGTTCTCAATCATTGGTTTCGGTGGATGCCATAAATTGACGGCTATTACGCATTAAGCATTTTCTGGCTGCGGTGAATAAGTTATGAAAATAAATATGCATTCGTCACTTGTTGACGTATGGTCATGGGTGACAATTCACACTCTCCGATATGCTTGATGTCAGAATGTGACTAATGGTTTCAGGCTCATGAAGAATCATGCAGTGTTTCATGTCACACCTAAGACAAGAAAATGCCTTTTCTTTGTCACCTGTCCATTTATAAATTCCATATCACTCAGCAAACAGCAAAAACCTTCCGTCTGCTGCCAGCCCGTCAAACCATCATATGACTTGTTGTTTAACCCGCGCCCCACTGGGGTCTGCGTATAACACGCCCTACTGGGGGGGGGGCTATTCATAGCCCCCCCCCCCCCCTCCTAACTCTGAAACTACTGGGCCGATCGTCAAAATTCAAACGGCGTCTGATAGCCCCGGAAAAACTGTCGAGCGAAACCTAATTTCATTGACCTCGAGGTCACCGATGACGTCACAGGTCAGGTCAAAGTAAAAATTATTAGCATTTTGGCTTCTTCACGTTTTGGGCTCTGGCCGCCGTCTTACAAGTCAGATCAGGCTCATTTTTGGTTCACACACTCGTGAACAGATGCTCTAGATACTCTGAGGGTACCAAACTTGTACTTCGATTTTCAGGTCAAGGTCAGGTCATCACAGGTCACGAAAATATTATATCATCCGTCGGTTACGTGACACATGTTTTATGGTCCATTTAGGCCAAACATTTCGAATTTGATGTCGTGTGTGTCATTCGAGGTCATTTTGAGTCAAATTTAGCTTAGGTCAGGTCACTTTCAGGTCAAAAAAGGTCAAATTTTGAAGTTAAAATTTTTCAACAAAAAAGGTGTCTATTGGATGCAGTTTGAGCTCAGGAACACGATGGTGCTATTTATATTGGCGTACGATGTCAAATTCGTGCTGAAAAAATGATTTGAAAAATTAATAATTGTTAATTTTTTGCAATAATGCGTATAACTTGGCCATTTTTGAAGATATTTAGCTAAAACTTGCTAGAGTTAGTCATAATAATGCGTTCTATCACATATATTCCGGTTTTTTCGAAAAGTCAAAAACTTTTTGAAAAAAATGTAAAAATATAAATTTTGGATATTATTATATAAAATTTTCAAAATTTTCAAAATTTCGAAAATCCGAGATAGCAGTTTGATAGCGCAGTCTATTCTGAGTCCTCTCATGCAAAGAAATTGGATCTAGCTTAAAAACTGAGCTCTTGGGAGCGATTGCCGTGGTTCAATGTTTTGCGTCGAAATCGGCCGAACATGACGTCACTCTGACGTCATTTCCGGCCGACCTATGGTAGGTACGAAGTTCAAATTTTGACACAAGGTGTCAAATTGATGCAGCCGAAGGTACTGAAAGTTTGGCGTCGATACGTCAAGCGGTTTGGAAGTTATTGCAGAAAAACGGGAGGGGGGGCTATAAATAGCCCCCCCCCCCAGTGGGGCGCGGGTTAATTTGTTCTAACCGTGACCTTTGGCGCAGGTCTGGAGGTGATTCTGGAGGAGCCGGAGGACGAGTATGTGACGTCATCGGAGGAAGAGGAGGAGGAGCAGGAGTCACCCCAGACCCGCTCTCTGCACTCTCTCGAGGGCTCCGAGGGGATCGGATCGGCTGAGGGTGACTCGGGCTCCAACGCGTCCGTGGAGTCCAGCAGCGGAGTCCACAGCCCAGGTGAGTCCAGCATGAGTCTGCGAGCTGAGTTCAGACTCTGTGCGAGTCTCCAGTCCCTAGCAAGAGAGTCCATGGTCTAAGTGAGTCCAGCAGTCTAGCATAATAATCCGTAGCCCCTTTGTCGCAAGTTAAACTGCCAAGCCCAAAGCTTTACAGCGGAAAGCTCGGAAATAACATGGAAAGTTCATGGAGACTCGGAAGTGACGATCCTCGGAAATCCCTGGAATTATCACTCGATTATTCCACACAGCCTGGGTAAGTTCAAGTGACATTTGGTTAAAGCACGTGAATCAGTCATAATGAAGAGCCATGTGTTTGATTGATGACTTACCATACACTCCCGGCGGAAGAAAGGATAAGAGCCACAATGATTAAGCAAACAGGCACAATAAAACGCCGCTATCCGGCTTCAGGAAGGTATTGTCTTCAGTAACAAAGCGTGGTCGGTAGTTGGACGTGCCTCCGGGAACTGTTGTGACTTGCTCATCCTCGCACCCAGTGCAGTTAGCGGCACGGTGCGACGCGACTGGCGGCGCCTGGGGCCATCCGAAGCAGCGGTGCTCTCAGCCAGGTGACTCCGAGGCGCGGCGCGTCGATCCGAGGCCGCGTACCCGTCACGGTCGCAGCCGTCGTGCTGTTTTCACGGTATCTGACCGCCTGACAGACCGCGCTGCCGCCCAAGGCAGTGGTGAGGTGCCGGATAGAAGCGGTTATTTTCTGAGAACTGGGTGATTATTTGAGGCGAATTAGGCTAATGCATACGTGCGTTAATGCTTGAGCGCAACTATTGAGACGGTTGAGGATTAATCATACGCGCACGCCGGCGCGCCGCCGTTATTTTTATCTACTGCGCTTCAACGCTGCCAGGTGGAGACCGCACACAATAACGTTCACAAGCTGTTGTCCACTGTCCTATGCACCGGCTGGTTTACTGCTGAGTGTACCCACTCACGTACGTACCCTCTCGGCTCGGCGCCGCCGGACGATCCGGCTCAGACACACGAATGAAGGCAATCAGAGTCAAGAGCGGCTGCTGTGACCGGAATGTGGAGCAGATGGCTTCATCAACGGCCACCATCGGCTGGGCTCTGCTGACCAACCTCAAACGGAGCCAGCCGAGAAGATAGTGGAAGACTCTCGTGGTTGGACGGAGCTTCGTTCCGTCTCTCCGGGTCCGGAAGCGGCGTGACCGGTCGGCGCGGCTCGCTGGTCTGTGAGCCGACGCGCCGCTTTTCACACCTGTCACCGTTCGGAAAGGGCCGGTAACGGGAACCGAGCCGGAGAGGCGACCCAAGTGACCGTGACGAGCGGCTCGAGCGTGCCGGCTGTTTGTCTCCGCTTCTGCACGCTTCTGACTCCCTCCTCCTCCTCACCCATTCGTCTCCGCTTCCCACAAATCCCCTCCCACTGTCATACATTATACCTAGTCTCGGGAGCGCTGCCCACCCATCCAATTGTCCCACCGGGCCGGACCGGACCTGCTCGCGGAGCCCGGCGGCCGACCAGCCGGCCTCGATGTGCACTCTCTGTGACGGACGTGTTGACGGACCTGCGGGCGCTCCGGCTCGCTCCGCCTTGTCCGGAGCCTCTCAGTAACGGGCCACGGCGCGTCGCGGGCCGGCCACTGGCGCCGCAGCGCTGCTGACCTGGTTATACCGACATAGGGCCGGTCTGAGACGTCATAGACGCGATGATGGACTGGATGGACCTGAGTTTGGCCGGACTGACCGGACCTGAGTAGATACGGCTGGATTCGACTGGATTTGTGTGAATCTCACTGGAATGCGGGATCTAGATCGACTGGCTGGATGGCTGGTTGCAATTCACAGACTAACTGGTTGAAACCGCCGGATCGGATGGTATGTGATCACTGCTACACAGTTGCCTGAAGTCGTCTACCGCAGCTGACCTCTCAATGATCCTAAACACTTGGAGAGCCGTATCGGTAATCAGGCATTACATTTGTAGCTTCGATGGCATGCCACTGCTTATACACAAGACTACCCCGCACCTCTCCAGGCTGCTGCGACACGTTGTTGACACGCGGGTGTCATACCGACACGGTGACACCCGGAGACACGGTCGTGGTCGTCAGTGCTCACTGGACCGTGTCAAAGTGTCAGCTCGTCACGCAGCTGTGTCTGGGGTCTCGTGGAAATCATGGGTGTGGTGCGCTAAGGTATTGTTGGGGGATGCGTGATATGAGTTATAAATCGGAGCAAGTCATCTGTCGAGCGACGAATTATATGCAGTTGATGGTTGGCTTCAGTTGGCGAAATCAGAGTAAGATGAACTGATCTAGAGTACAGTTTTATTCTACCAATTTTGATAGCACACCTATGTTTAGCCGACAAATAGCTGAAACTGGAAGAGAAACATTATTTAACGTGACGAGGCATCGGTTGGATCGATCACATCTGAAACCTCTGTAGTCTGTAATAGGCTGCAAACGACCGAAACTTGGCCTCCGCGGAAGGAGGGCTGATAAATGACCGGTAGCTTCAGGTCAGGTTAAACTTCAGGTCAAAGCCCAAGGATCGTAACCCGAGCACAGTTCTTGCCATGGTGCTGTCTCGCGAAGAAACCTTAGCCAAAAGAAAAAAATAAGCTAGACAGACTTTCGTTCGCAGCTACGACACATTCAAGTTGGAAATGCAAGTCCAATTGAACCCTCATTGATCTGGGTTCATGAGTCTCCAAAGCTCTCCACGGTCAATTTATCTGTTCTGAAGTCGCCAGACCTCTCAGAAGCTGCATTTGAGCTTCATTTAGCGACTTTTGAAGCCACCTACAAGATTCTGCGCCGTCCACGTATTGGAGAGCCGGCGCGGACGGAAGCTGGCGTGACGCGCTGCGCGCTGCGTCGCTCCGGTCCACCGCGTCGCCGGCGTCGGAGGGTGCGTCGTCGGACCATCTGTCGCTGTCGCCGCACCGTCGGCTCCCATCGCTCTCTGTCCGGCCATCGGTCCCGCCCGCACCGCCGGCGGCGGGCTCTTCCTGGTGCGCTGTCCTCACGGTAGGCCAGAGCACGCGAGCAGAGGTGGATCACTGGAAGGAGAACTTGAGCTGCAGCTGTCACCTGCAGTGTCGTGAAACACAATGGAGGTGGTAACCTGCTCGTATTTTCCAGAGTTAGCCTGTCTTGTGACTCGAGGGCTAATCTGATCACTGCGATCCCACAGTAGGTCAAAGTTGTATGACTTCCTGCACTAAATCCGACAGAAATTCTCACCTGGATTCAGCGTCTGCTGCTGTGTTTAGCACAATCACCTCTGTCGCTGTCCCAGTCACCTCGGCGTCGGAATGTTGTCGGACGGGTCTGCGCCTGGCGACCATGCAGGTCACCGCGACAGAGCGGGAGGTGCAGGTCGCCGATTAGCCGGCCTCCCCTCTCTGCCACGAGTGTTGCGGTGCAACTCTGTACCTGCAGAGGTCACCTAGGGTGACGTCACTCGGATGCACGTGCAGCTGCGTCTTCAGGTGCCGGCTGCATGCCCCACCGAGCAGAGACACCGCTGGATAAACAGAGTCACCCGAGGTCACCGGTGAACTGCAACGCCGGCTGTGAATACATCCCGGCTTTTCCGAGAGATGCTGCTTCCGGAGCCGTGAGCAGAGATGGATAACGGTGTTCAGATGAAACGTAACGACTTAAACCGGACAATTAAACGGTCGTTGTCCGCTTCTCTCAGTATCTCAGCTGTGAATGAGGCGTCCAAATGACCGACCGCACGACAAACGGTCAGTCTGCCGGTCTGGCGGTCGGCTGGCAGACAGCGGCGGTGGCGCTGTTTCTTCTTCTGTGACCATTCCCGTCAGTTCTGGCATCTGGCTGCGGTCGCGTGAGGCGGTAGCGTGCATCCCACCGGCCATTACCCGGACTAAACGCTGCCGGAAGCTCGGCTGTCTCCGTCTGGGCCGGCTGCGACAGCTCGAAGGCTGGCGGTGTGGCAGCTGGCTGGAAGAGGTGGCGTGATCCAAAGCCATGTGACCGCGAGGAGGTCACCGGCGAAAGGAACGGCACGGCGCGAACTGGCACGGGTCGGGTCGGTTCGGGTCGTAGCTGTGCGAGACACGAAGAGGTGGAAGTGACTTCACATCAGAAGGCTGGGTTAATTGTCACTGAACACGCTCCATACGTTTCTACTGAGACGAGTAGAAAGCATGGCATCCATTTCCGAACTTCGGAAGCTATGTCGGTAGTTCACAGAGTCCCTCGGTCTTCGTGCTGCTCCTTTCTGCACTGTTCCATTCGTCGATAGTTATACCGTTACAGGGCTGGATCTCGTTGGCGCAATCACGTAAGGTTATAAAGGGTTACTTGTCTCTTACCTATCTGTTACCTGTCTGTTACCTGTCTGTTACCTGTCTGTTACCTGTATGTTACCAATCGGTCACCGGTCGGTGGTCACAGCTATATCATCCGACCCACGGCTGTACCTTGTCGTCATGGGTCGCTGGTCACAAGCTGAGCTGAATGTGACCCTCCCGACCAACTCATTCATGTAAACATTCAGATGTCCATGATAATGATTTATGCATGAAGTAACTGTACGTGAAGAATTAATGATTGTTGGCTTGCTGTTTCCATCCAGCTATTGTTGCTACCTACATAGAAGTGCGGAGTCGCTCTCCTTTCCACACAATATCTGATTGTCGAGTTATTACATGTTATGTCACAATCCACCTAATTCTCACAATGCCCGACAAAAAGGAGCCATTTATGTTTTGAATCGCTGGTAAAGTTAGAAAAGGCGTACGCTGATGGCTGGATAAACGGTTCAAGTTCCGTGCTAGGTACTATTTCAGGCGTGCTACACTGCGTTTTGAAAATGACATCTGGCAGTTTCACTCTTTTCTCTAGACGGTATTGTTTCGGTGTTTTGAGACAGTCACGGGGCACCTTCACGAAAGAGGGCTCGTGATGGTTCGTGACTTTTGCTCTCTCGGCCCATGCGTGAAGGGCAAACACGAACGTGGAGAAGCCTGAGATTTGCCTAGTCGTCCTTCCATCTGTATACCTATTTTGCGTGCTCATTTATTTTCAGTTCCAAACATTTTTATGTTACTTTGGTTGCTGAAATGCTTTGACAGAAAAAAGACATGTTTTATCGATCCAATTAATGTTAGCAACGTTCACACAGGTTGCGAGTACATCGTATCCCTTTGCACACCCTCGGCTGTGGGGACGGGAAGGCTAGATTATTCGAAGCACGTGACCAGGGTTGTTGGATGACGTACAAGTGTAGGAAATCTCCAAGTTCGATGACCGGAACGTGCCTGTCTGCTTTTATGGCCTCTGGAGGTCGAACAGTCTGCGACGAAGACGACAGGCGTCTCAGATTTATTGGTTCGACCTGCGAATGAGTCAGCACACTCAACCAACCGTTGTTTTCCGGAGTATCTGAGCACGAAATGTTTCGTCAATATGACAATCAAAGACTGTCGAGCTATTGGCTATTTCCACAGCACTCAGCCTCCTGCCATCTCCGAAACCCCCGTTTAGCAAGTCAGCCACTTTTTGTCTCATGAAATATGAATGAATGATCAGGTCAGATCACAGATGAGGACTTTGCTTATACATTCGAATCGTTAACTCGAGGTATCAATGATGTTTTCCTTATACCTGAGATAAAGGGACCCGGTTCCATCAGCACCGTTTTAGATCTATTCCAAGCGATGCTTTGACCTCGGCCGTCGACGGGCACCTACGTGCGACGGTAGCTCCCCTAGCGACCGCTGCGGCAATCACACACACTAACTCCCCCTTCTGCCGACAGGTGGCTCCCCGACCTTGCGCGAGCCGTCCGAGGACCGCGAGGAGAGAATTCAGAAGGACCGCTGTGTCGAGGTGTACCCGGAGACCATGCGGCAGCGCAAGCATGCCAAGAAGCAAAAACAGGTGAGGAAAATGCCAATTTTGCTGGTAAGACAAAAGAGGCGCACCAGGCTGCCGAACAGCAACCGGTGCTCGCTTAGGCTCAATTTATCAATGCCTTATGCAGTATGCACACCCATGTACCCAACTAATGTCTCCTTTCATTACTTTTGCTATTCAACATGCATTCTACTGTCAGCCACGATATTGAGGCCAATGTTCACCACAATGCGCAGCCCCGTTCGCCCGTATCAGGCGATAAGCCGTAGATTAGAGGCGGTCTGTGCTGCTGGTCCGTGCCGGTGACCCATGTGTGCTAGGGGCCTGTGATGGCAGATAGCCCATGTTTCGGCTGGCATGGCACGTCCAATATAGCAACGTTTGTGTAAGGGGAGGGCTGGAGAGGGAGGGACGACCTCAGTGACCGGTGACCCGTGACGATAGATCGAAAGCCTAGAGTGTGGGGCCGATGGCCTGTTATTGGTGAAGCACGTTCAAACGCCACCCACGCGGAACAGAAACACTTAAGGGGAAGCGATGCTGTGGATTGATAACTAGTGGTTAGCACCGGGGTGTTTCTCGTATGATCTTTGGTGGTCTTACTTCTAGAACGAGCGTCGAGCATTGCTCGTAGTTTTTGCTGCTGCATCATCTGCATACAAATAGCACTGGTTTGGTCAGTGGTCGTCTCAAGACGACAGCGGCATTTCCAACCAACAGCTCAGTCTTGTCATAATGCAGTAATAATTTACGACGGAAAGTGGTTCATAATTAGCTCCAACCACTACAACTCGCCTATTATGCCTCCTCTCGTCTCATTTCGCCCTGCTCATTCCCAGCTCAGACCCAGTACCGTTACCAGTAGGTACTCCTCTCCTCTACCTCCTCTCCGACCTCTCTCCATCACACCGGTCCCGTCCGTATCAGGCTACCTCTCCCCTCCCCCTCCCCGGTAATCGATCCCCTCACCTGCCGTCCCCCACTGCTGGCAGGGGAGGGATCAGGGGCGAGGAGAGGTCCTCGTTTGTGTAACACGCGCCGGCAGTGGGCTCACATTGTAGCATACACTCGATACCGCCCCACCCCAATGCCACTCGTGTAGCATATGATTTCACCAAATTTACGTCCACTGACAGGATCAGATGACTTTGACTGTGATTTAACCAGCTCACTAAACTGTGGTTGGTCATTTCCTACCCGGGCTTAAGCTGTAGTATTGTTATGGTCTGGTCATACTACCTCGGGTCTTGGTTACATGTTGACGTGAGTTTGTTGTATCTCGTTACGCACTAGCTCAGGGAGGTCAATAGCGGACAGCGTCAACGTGTGCTGGTAGTTAGAGGGCGTTCAAAAGGTTCTACAAGGGTTAACGTTAGACGAGCTATTAGGTTATGTTTTGGGCATGAATACTCGAGCACATAATTCCGCTTTATGATGAATTCTGTCTTTGGACTGCATGATACTGAGACCATCGGGTTTCTTCGCAATTGCGTGTTAGGGGAGAGCGGGGAGAGTTGTATCATGTCCAAGTTGTATCAGGGCGAATTGTGTCAAACTTATCCAATGGATGGCGCTCGCGACACGACCAGCCGACGAGGTTTTCCGAGCGCCATCTTTCCCTGTTCTGTCTTGTGGCTGAGTGGACGCGTCTCGAGGTGAGAGGCGATTTTATGTTTTTTTAATGTCATTCTAGAAAAATAAGTTGCAAGAAAATGTGTGTTTTGGGCATTTAGATGTGCACGAATTTGAAAGATCTCCGTAGCGGTGGTGAGGGTAGGTTCTAAGGCTGCGTGAGAGAAAACGGATTTCTCCAGCTGTCCGCTGTTTTTTGAGCAGGAGGATGTTTTTTCGAAGATGGCGGCTAGGTACATGTTGTATCAGAGCCGGGTGGGGTATGTTGTAACATGTATGTAGGTATGTATGTATGTATGGGTATGTTGCTTTTGATCGCGAAAGCCCTGGCTCGCGTTTGTAGGTAGCTAGTCAAGGCTCGTTCCATTTCGGCACAATGTGTTGGCTTCTTTGCTCTTAACGGGCCACTTTTGCGTCTAGTCTGTTGATGTTTCTTTCGGATTGCATTGACCTAAGTTTGGTCTAATAAAGTGAAGCCTTTGAGCGTACCTATACATTGTATTAACCCCATTTAATGTTGTTGTTATGTTCAAAACCAGTAGCAAGCACACTCCCTGAAACGTGAAATAGTGATACAAATTACCCCACCATGTGATACAACTCACCCAAGCCATGGGGCAAGTTGTATCAAAAACATTGTTCTATTCGGTAGACCGTAGAAGAAAAACTGGTAGAGGTAGCGGAAAAGTTACTTTGCACAAAAAAAGCAGAAGAATCAAGGAAGGGGATAGTATGGAAATAATGAGTTTATCACGGATAGTTACGAGGTTATGGGTCTCGGAGTAAAAACTGATACAACCCACCCCACTCTCCCCTACGTGTCTGTCTCAGAGAGTCGTTAAACTTGCAACGAAAGGAGCTGGAAGGAAGTTTGATCGTTGATTTGACCGTAGCGGAGAAGCGAGACAGCTCAGACCAAGGCCCTAAGCTCAGACGAGACATTTGCTTTTGAGGAAGGTGACGGAAAGCGCGTCCATGAGAAGGGGTGAATTTCAGGTTTTTTTCTTCTTCAAATTTTGCTCCTGGAGCCATCCAGTAAACCTCCCGTATCCCGCCCTGCCCTAGCTCTAACATTCCAACTCTGCATTCCGATCGCTCACCCACACCCTTCCCTCGCTGAGCAGTCCCTCCTCCCACCCACCCCCTCGCTCAATCGTCCCCACTGCGCCATCATCGTCCCGCTATCCGGCGGCGGCACGGCGCGGCATAGTGCGCCGGGATTGTCGCGGCAGACAATACGGCACGCACCAGACCGTGTAGTGGAACACTGCCGCTGTGGCTCCCTCGTTCGGCGCGGCGGCGGCGGTGGCGGCGGTAGCGGCGGCGGTACTTTGAGCTCTCTGCAGCGTACGCTAACGGTGTGACTGCAGCCGCCCCCCCCCCCCCCCCCCCCGCCCCCGCCGCCACCCCCGCCGTCGATCGTATACCACTGGCAGTCCCCAGTCAGGGCGACACCGTGCCGGTCGTCGGTCATGGAAGGGCCGGAGCGAACCGAGTGTGCAGTGGTGAGATACTGGAAACGATCGAGGGAGTGATCAGGGGGATGGGCCTCTGAGTAGAGCGGGAGTGGTAGGCAGAGCGGGAGCGAGCCGAGAGAGAGGAGGGGAGTGAGGGATAGAGCTGTGCTGGATCATGGCCCGCTCCGCATCAGTGACACTGGACAGTGGTGGTGCGGCTTCCCTGGTGTCTGGTCGTCCGGCAGTGGTAGGCTGGTCGCAGTGCAATAAGTGTTTCCCGGCGCTTTCAGTGCGAAACGTTCCCGTTATCCATACGGGAACCTTGTTTGGTGTGACTGAAGTGTTGTGCAAACTTTTTGCGACACATGCACTTATTTCTCTTGAGCGGAGCATGCGTTGCTCGCCACTAATGGATCCATCTTATTGCCGTTTGGAGAGCATGCAACTCGTTATTACTTATTTTTACATATCGCGCTGAGTGGATAGGTACTTGCTTTGTAAGCTATTCTAAAGGGCTATGGCCAGACAAGCTCGATTTCCTCGACTTTCCGCTACTTTCCCGTTCGCAGGTCACTAGCTCGAAAGTGCACCGATTTTCCCAATCAACGTAATTAGCCTCCTGCATCTGCAGAGGTCTGCATTTAAATCGAACCGTGCCGCCCTATTCCGTCATGCTATTGAGCTGACACGGAGCCTGCTCACGCCTCTGATATTATCAGTCCGCCTTCGCTGAGGCCTGCTCAGTCTCTGCTCGCCACTCGGCGAGGTGGGAGTCTGTGGCAGCGCTCCTCAGTGGAGGGGGAGTATCAGTGTCTGCGATCACCTGCCGTGACCTGTCTGACCCCCCCCCCCCCATCTCTGATCGCCGCAGGTGGACGGCAAACCGTGGTCAGACGCCAGCGAGGCCCCTCGCCGAGCCGACGACTCCTCCAAGACCATCGACAGCCCGACCAAGATCAAAAAGCTGCTGCCGTCGGTGAAGGCGCTCAAGTCGCAGTTCGAGTCGGCGGCGCCGCCCCCAGAGGCCCCCCGGCGCTTCAAAGAGAGGTCACCGCCGACAAACAAAATGGCGACCGAGGTGAAGACTGCTGAGCGTCCTCAGCAGCAGGTGAAGGTCACTGATCCGGCGCCGGTCAGCAGTCAGCGGGCCAGCCCGGTGTCGGCGGGAGGTCAGAGGTCATCCGTCGGGTCACCGGCCCGCAGCAGCGGGGGATCTAAGAAGGTGTACATCCCGGATGATCCTGTGGAGGCCATCTACGATAAGTTTGGAGAGGTGGACGAACGCATGCTGAAACAGAAGATTACGACACTCTCGTGGGACCCGGTGAGTATGGGGGACAGGGAAGGCTTTGTGTTATATATCTAGTATCTACACTCATGCTCAGGCGTTCTTATCAGCACCATGCAGCCAAAATGGGAAGATCGTAAATCACACAGTTTAAACGTCACCCTTGCAATGTTTAGCACCGTCTTGACGTCCCTGTGTTAAGGTTTCAAGAGCAGTGATAACAACCTCGATTACCGTAGATAAGCCATGATAACTTATAAGTTAGATAAGTCGCGCTCCGTAAATATCGTGAACTAGCTATGTTCGATATATCCCCGATTCATTATTCTATTTGTCTCACCATTCAATGATCCCCTGATCGAAAGTTTTTTTTTCTGTCGTTATGACTTCCTTTGACCCTTTAGGTATTATTCCTCAATGATTTTTTTCATGTATGAAGCGAACCTGCTGTGAGGTCGATACTTTGTTTCTGTCTTCGTGACTTAATTTGACCCTTTATTATCCCAGAAGGAAATTTGTGTCATGTATGAAGCGAACTTTCGTGAGCTCGCTTATGACTCGTCGCTCTGTGCCCCGTTCCTTCCAGACCACACTGGTGAGTCGCCTGTACGATGTGCCGGAGCCTGCCCAGCGTCCCAAAGACCAGGAGAAAGGCTACGTCAACATCGAGGGCTGGCTGGAGAAGCTGCCGTCGGGCAGGAAGAAAGCCACCTTCTGGAACGCCTGGAAGCGGCGCTACTTCAAGGCCAAGGACGGCTTCCTCTACTACTATCAGGTAGACGACTTTTTGCCGTGCAAAACTATTCAAACTCACTCGTGCATGTGAGATTCGTGTTTGGGAAACTCGATAATTGTTTCCATTCATGTACTGGGTACTTTTGACTCGTGTTTTCATCATCATGTGGGGACAATAAACCAAGGCACGAACAAACAAAGCGGCAGAGCCGTGTCCTTGAATACCGTCACCGTCACAATAGACGGTGGACTCACTTCTGCAGTAATGGCGTGGAGGGGGAATGAACTCCTAGCGTGCGCCGTAACCCGAAACAGCCTGGTGACTTCTGGAATTTCCGCAAACTCGTGACGGAAAACAACGGAATACGAGCTTTACCGCTGTCAGAATGAATAGAAAACTCAAGTCGAATTGAGCTCTACTATATTCAACCAATTTCCGATACAAGTAGCCCCCTATGTATCTATCTATGGATGATCAGTGGTTTAACGTCTTAACTTTTTTGTCGGCAGACTAACACCACGGAGAAGCCGAGCATGGTGCTGCAGCTGATGGGGGGCCACGTGGAGGCCATGGAGTCGTCGGTCGTCGGAATCGACGATGGGGTGAGTCGCTGTCGACGATTGGCCTGGTGGAGGGAACCGTATGTAGAGTCGCTGCTGCTGCTACTGCTGCCACTGCTCTAATTGAACCGTTAATAACGGCAAACCTGCCGAAGAGCTGCCTGCCTTCAGAAGTTTTGGCATACGGGTGTCGGAACTGTATAATTTGATTGCATGGATATCGGATGATGAATGACAAATTAAACTGGTGAAAACTCGAAGGCTTTAATGGTGCGTTCACTTTTTTTACAATTTGAATAATCCGATAAATTTCATTGGCTCTTATGGCATGACATCTTGAACTCCAGCCAATGACATCTTGCGCTTTTCCGAAATCTCACATGTGCTTCTATCTGCTCCCTTTTCTGAACTTTCTGTTCGATACTTATGCATGAGTGTTAGGTATCTATCCGGCGACGAAGTAACTGGCATTCATTTCGAATATTATACGTTGTTTGAAATAAGTTTTACGGCTTCTGATAAGCCAAGTGTGTTCAGTAATTGCTTTTTAAACGATTTTAAAGTCTTTTTTCTGTTTTTCTTATTTGCGAAGAATGCCACATTAAAATATGTTATTGGACAAATATTATGATATTAACATATGCCTTACTCATCTACCTATTTGCTAAGTCTTGATTGAATGCTTACATTGCAACTACTGTGTTTTCCATAAATACAATGAGCGTCTTAGGATCGTAGCTGGAAGACGACCGTGAAATATACTGTAACTCATTGAAAGTCGAAACATTCTTCTGACTTCAAAGCCATCCCAACGTTACTTATTGTTTAAGCACTTGTTCTACCTATCGTTTACAAAACAACATACTCGTCTTCCTGGCTACGACCCTAACCGTGCCCTTCTGAGCATACATAAACATATCTACCTGGTTGTTGTCCCTTCGCTCGCGTGCATCTAACAATGCCGGTCTGCCCGTTCCCGTGGTACGCGCTCCCGCTGGTGCAGGTGCCTCAAACGCTTCCCATGATCGGCCTGGATGATGGGGTGAGTCAAACGAGACATCCACAGTTCCACGCGCCTTCTGACCACTTCGCTATCTAACCGACAGAGTCTACTGTCCACTAATGCTGATGGATATCGCGATTTATATGTGTGCTTGTGAATACTATGGCTGGCGCTAACTTGCGATGATCGCAGTAGCTATTTGTCTCATGCATCTTTTTTTCTTTTGGCGATTTACATTATTTCGTCTTTTTTACTGCGATTCCTGTTAAAAAATGTTTCATCGATGTTTGTGTATTTGAGACTTAAAACCCAATTCAGTGTCATATCACGGTGGTTCGACGTCCAGTGACGTCCTTCCTCCCTCAAAAGGTTCGTCCCCAGTGCCCTCAGTGTCCCTCCCCCGCGACTCTGCAGAAGGGCCGGTACGTGGTGGTGCGCTGCAACAGCCGCCCGGAGGCCGAGCGGTGGACGCGCGCTCTACTCTCTCACACCGTGGAGGACTACAACGCCACCTACGTGCAGCCGGTGCCCGTGCCGGTCGGCGTCACCACCAGCCGGCGCTGCGTGGTCATCGACCTGGGCAGCTCGTCCATCCGCGCCGGAGTCCTTCATGAGCAGCGTGAGTAGTTGCGATGGAGTGCATGAGTTCATCCTTCCACACTGAGGAATGGAAGAATGAAGTGTAGTGGTCGCTGGACGATGAAAATGTGTCTACTTGTTGTGATCTGTCAAGGTTTTGCTAGTTTTGTGTCATAAGAAGTTACTTTCTTCTCTTAACGTTAAGCCTATGCATATGGCACGGTTAACTGTCCAGCGGTTTGCTGACTTCAAGATCAGCATTCGGTGTTGTTCTCGTTTTGCGTCTGATCCTCCAATGACGTAAGTTCCCTATTCTCCCGCAGCCACTCTGCCGCAGCTGTTCTTCCCGGCAGCCATGGTGACCTCCCGGGACGGCGGAGCGCCGGTGTTCGGCTCCGCAGCCCTCCGACCGGAGGCCCGCGCCGGTGGCACCCTCTCCTTCCCCCTCCGCCCCTCCAGCAAGATCACCAAGCACTCGGTGGACGTGCAGGCGCTGTCGGGTCTCCTGCAGTTGACGTTCCGCGAGCTGCGCATCAACCCGTCTGACTACTGCGTGCAGCTGAGCCTGCCGCGCAGCTTCAACACGGCCACACTCGGGGAGATCCTGCGTCTGCTGTTCGACAAGTTTGGCGCGCAGGGCGTCAACCTGACCCACCAGAGCATTCTGGCCATGTGGTCCTACAACGCCACCAGTGGTGTGGTGGTGGATGTCGGAGACAGGATGGATGTGGTGCCCGTTATTGACGGTGAGCGGACCGATATCTCAGGCTGATATGGCTTGTGCGGGGTTATCTTGTTTGTGTGGGTCAACAAGGCAACAATCTGTTGATGATATCGATCAGGATTAGGAGTCGATATGTTATTACATGATATCGAATTTTAGATGAGAGAAATATTGCCCACGATATTCATCACCTTTTTATAGACACTATTCAGTTATTATCCAGTAATTCGCATCGTCTTCAACACGAAAAATAGTTCAGACCGTTTATCCCTGATGTTACAGTTCGATAACATTTCGGCTCAGCGCATTTCAACCTACGGACAACAAACCTACCAAACCCGACATATACCCTTCTGACCACCTCCCCATCTCTCCACCACAGGTTACATCGTGGAGGGCGGCGTATCGCGGGTACCATACGGCGGCGCGCGGATACAGGACCACCTGCGGCACTTCCTGCTGCAGAAACACTACTCCCTGGTCACGGAGGTGGAGTCGCTGCTGCTGCGCTACGTCATGGAGCGTCTCTGCTTCGTCTCGGAGCAGTATGGCGCTGACCTGAGGCAGTTCTCTGAGGATCCGGCCAGCGTGCAGAAGACCGTCTCCGTGAAGGAGTTCCTTGGAGAGAACGTCTCGTGGAAGTGAGTACGGCATAGACAGACAGTATGGCTCGAGGAGCTGGCTACTCGTTTTTGAAAATGTGTGCGGTGTTAAATAACAATATTGTTTTAGTGGACGTCTGGCGGCGTTCCTGCTAACTTATATTCCAGCCACTAGATGGCAGTGGTAGTAAGCGCCTGGAGTGATACTGCGCCGCATGGCCTGAAAGCGAAATGGCGTGATATGGCGTGATAAATAAAGAAGTGGCAGGTAATTTTATGTGTCAAAACTTAGCAGAAACACTTTAGATGTACTTCATTGTGACATCAGGTAACTCGTCTGATCGTCTCCCTTCCCTCACAGGCGGATCACGCTTGACAGCGGCCGGTTCCAGGCCACCGAGGGCCTCTTCAACCCCGACGCCTGGGGCCTGGATAACAAGGGCGTCCACAAACTCGTCCACAAGGCAGTTCAGGTATGTGTTGTGCAAATACGCGCCCTTAGAGGCGGATCGATGATTGAAGCCGTATCTGGAGTGCGAAGTTCGAATTTCATCGTGATCTTTGGCGTGCTTAGAGCTTGTGAATGAATGTAACTATGGATATATTGCACCATAAGTAAACCCTGATAACGCAGGACTTGTAAACGATAGCGTCCGATTGAATAAGCGTTTGTATGAGCTGTTTGCCAATAGTTCATGATGTCGAAACAGTCAATTTTGAACGCGTCTCCACTTCAGTTATCGTTGTTTCTGTGTAGACTGTAGAGTAGAGCGTTCTGACCGGTCGTTTTTCTGTGACGTGACACAGGAATGCAGCGTGGACATTCGTAAGGAGATGGTGCGCTCCATCTACCTGGCCGGCGGGGTGACACTGCTGCCGGGCTTCGCCGAGCGACTGCAGGCCGAGATGGATAAGCTGACCCCGCCCTCGGTCACACCCAAGGTCAGTGGGGTCACGGGCGGGGTTTTTAGTGTTTGTATATGCAATAATTTCTCGCAGAATCAACGTGTCATTGTCATAACTTGAGCACTCCTGGGACATGCAATGGCATTGGTTACTTGATAACATTTATAACGTTCTCAGATTTTGTCACGATTAAACTTGTATTCATCACACTCAGGTTTAACCCGAAAAGAGAGCATGCTTTCTGTAAATTCGTAGATCGGCATTGGACTACAAAACACCGCCATCGACGACGTGTACCGCTCCCGACATTGCCACGCTACCGTGCCACCAGCCGTGTCCCCGCTCCAGTGTCTAACCTACCCTACACTGTCCACAGGTACACGCGTCCCCGTACCGGTACCACGCCGCGTACCTGGGAGCCTGTGTACTGGCCGGTTCGGAGGGCTTTCAGCAGGCCATGGTACCCCGCAGCAGCTGGCTGAAACTCGGCGTGTCTGCGCTCAAAAAGTGGACCGTGTAGCGGCGCAACAGTGCTCTGACCTCCCGGCGTGACGTCATGAATTAATGACGTCACGGAGTGATGCAGTGACGTCATCAGGGCGGTGCGTTTTCCGGCCCGCACGGGCTGTCTGTGATTTTTATGTCTCCGAGTGTGAGAACTGCGTATGTGAGGGAAGTGTGAGGTCTGACTGAGGTGGTACAAATGACTCGACTCCGTCAGCTGCTTTGTGAGAGTCCAGTGGTGAGTCCGACCCGAGTCCAGAGTCGTGTGCTGTGAAGCGTCCCCGCGGCTGTATATTCGGGGACAGGTCGTTCGAGGTGCGGAGTTGCATAAAACTGCCGGTGACAGTTGAACAAAAACCGAATACTGTATGTGGAACCCTTCGCCCGCCGGTGACTGGTGCGGTGGTGTTCTGTGCGACGAATCTGTAACATTCCTGTTGTGCTGGAGATGGGCTGATGGTGAACAGTGGTGCTTGGACGGTGCCCGAGTGGTGACTGGTGACACTCCCCGCTGGTGGTGAGGGTGGCCCTCTCCAGTGGTCACACACTCGATCGTTTTCTGGTGCCGCCCTCCCGTCAGTGCAGGCCGTTATTGTTTTGTCGCGTGTCCACGAGAGGTGGACAGCAGCTGCACTGCACATGTGAAAAGTGTAAGTACTTTTACCTGTAAGAAGTGTTTATATTTTCCTGCCTATGGATCGCTGCACCCGTTTAAATGCTTATGCCAGTTCGTAGACGGTGTTAATTTATTTTACAAGTGCCGGTCTGACCATAATACAATGGATAACCCAGTGTGCGATGTGTTTGCTCAATATTTGAGATTTCGTGAAACGTATCAGGCATGTAAAAAAGATGCACCTCATGGGATTAAGTGGAACAAGCACACTGGTAGATTCAAAGGGGACATTTGGTGCATTTTCATTTTTACGCTTCCAACATTCCACCAGCATGTCGGCCATCACTTTTATGAAAGATCCTCATTTTTTTGTTTGCATTCCATCTCATCCATGAACAATTAACACCAGTATAACGCCTTATGGGGCGACTAACGGAGCGAGCGAGAGGGTGGGCCTTGCACGTGCGAAATTTCGAGGGGGTACCTCCAACTGACTTGTGCACGGCACCCTACTAACCGGTCTCTAGCGATGTGCCAAATTTGAGCACAATCGGCCCAGCCGTTCTCGAGATCTGGAAGCGGCACCCTGCACGTGCGCACGTGCAAAATGGGTCCCAACTGACTTGTGCACGGCACCCTACTAACTGGTCCCTAACCGTGTACCAAATTTGAGCGCAATCGGCCCAGTCGTTCTCGAGATCTGGGAGCGCCCCCTGCACGTGCGCACGTGCTGTAGCACCCCAACCTTAACACATGCAGATGAATTATCTGATGGAGACCTAACTGTGTACCGAGTTTCAATTCAATCGGCCCAACCGTTGTGCCGTTATTGAGGTTGCAATTTTGGGGGTTCTGGAAAAATGTCCAACTTCACCACGCGCCACGTGCGGTGGTTGGCAAGAACGCATGGTGGCCATCACACCACAGAACTTTTACGTCCAAGTGACATTCAGTAAAGAAGACCGCTTGTCAATCGGATGTCCCGTTCCTAAGATATTAGCTTTTGAAGAGCGTCCCCACGGCCGGCCGGCCGGCCGGCCGGCCGCTCATACTCAGGATTTTCCCTTAATTCAGTACCAGTATAACGCCTTTTGGGGCGACTAACGGAGCGAGCGAGAGGGTGAGCCTTGCACGTGCGAAATTTCGAGGGGGTACCTCCAGCTGACTTGTGCACGGCACCCTACTAACCGGTCTCTAGCGTTGTGCCGAATTTGAGCACAATCGGCCCAGCCGTTCTCGAGATCTGGAAGCGGCACCCTGCACGTGCGCACGTGCAAAATGGGTCCCAACTGACTTTTGCACGGCACCCTACTAACCGGTCCCTAACCATGTACCAAATTTGAGCGCCATCGGTCCAGCCGTTCTCGAGATCTGGAATCGACCCCTGCACGTGCGCACGTGCAGCAGCACCCCAACTCTGGCACATGGATATGCATTGCCTAGTGGGTGCCTACCTACATGCCAACTTTCAGCGCAATCGGCCAAGTATAGTTCGTTTTTCTTAAGTTTGCCCCTCACTGTAAACGTCTTTTTGAACACAGCACGAGAATTGCTAGCTGAATTACTGAGAAAACTGGTTGGCGCACATTGTATTGGAGATATGAATAATGTTTTCAAAATAAGTTTTGAACACCGACGATGTAACGTTAATGTTAAACGCCGTGCAATTTATTAATTAGTTCAGACATGATTCCTGAGAAGTCGTCTATCACTGTGGAGCTGTAGGTATGGGTAAATACGAGCTATGAGTCTGTGAAATAGTAAACATATTTGATAAAATTGATCGTCTGTGAAATCTGGTGAAATCAATGTGCGCCAACCAGTTTTCTCAGTAATTCAGCTAGCAATTCTCGTGCTGTGTTCAAAAAGACGCTTACAGTGAGGGGCAAACTTAAGAAAAACGAACTATAGTTACCGAGATATTGCAACAATTACAAAAGTGACACCTCTTCGTTTTGCACGTGGCACGTGCATAAGGGGTCACCCACATGCATCGGGAATAGTGCAATACTTGGTAGAAGGAATGAAGCTACCCTACAAAAATTACCGCATGTAAATCGGTCAAGTGGTTGCTGAGATATAAGCCTCGCAAAAGCGTGACCACGGCCGGCCGGCCGGCCGCTCATACTCAGAAATTTCCGTTAATCTAAGGAAAGACTACGCTCGCTTCGCTCGCTCCGTAACCAGTATAACGCCTTTTGGGGCGACTAACGGAGCGAGCGAGAGGGTGGGCCTTGCACGTGCGAAATTGCGAGGGGGTACCTCCAACTGACTTGTGCATGGCACCCTACTAACCGGTCTCTAGCGATGTGCCAAATTTGGGCACAATCGGCTCAGCCGTTCTCGAGATCTGGAAGCGGCACCCTGCACGTGCGCACGTGCAAAATGGGTCCCAACTGACTTGTGCACGGCACCCTACTAACCGGTCCCTAACTGTGTACCAAATTTGAGGGTAATTGGTCGAGCCGTTCTCGAGATCTGGAAACGACCCCTGCACGTGCGCACGTGCAGCAGCGCCCCAACTCTGGCACATGGATATGCATTGCCTAGTGGGTGCCTACCTACATGCCAGCTTTCAGCGCAATCGGCCAAGTAGTTACCGAGATATTGCAACAATTACAAAACGGACATCTCTTCGTTTTGCACGTGGCACGTGCATAAGGGGTCACCCAAATGCATCAGGAATAGTCCAATACTTGGTAGAAGGAATGAAGCTACCCTACAAAAATTACCGCGTGTAAATCGGTCAAGTGGTTGCTGAGATATAAGCCTCGCAAAAGCGTGACCACGGCCGGCCGGCCGGCCGGCCGCTCATACTCAGAAATTTCCGTTAATCTAAGGAAAGACCAGTATAACGCCTTTTGGGGCGACTAACGGAGCGAGCGAGAGGGTGGGCCTTACACGTGCGAAATTGCGAGGGGGTACCTCCAACTGACTTGTGCACGGCACCCTACTAACCGGTCTCTATAGCAATGTGCCAAATTTGGGCACAATCGGCCCAGCCGTTCTCGAGATCTGGAAGCGGCACCCTGCACGTGCGCACGTGCAAAATGGGTCCCAACTGACTTGTGCACGGCACCCTACTAACCGGTCCCTAACTGTGTACCAAATTTGAGCGCAATCGGTCGAGCCGTTCTCGAGATCTGGAAACGACCCCTGCACGTGCGCACGTGCAGCAGCGCCCCAACTCTGGCACATGGATATGCAGTGCCTAGTGGATGCCTACCTACATTCCAACTTTCAGCGCAATCGGCCAAGTAGTTACCGAGGTATTGCAACAATTACAAAACGGACACCTCTTCGTTTTGCACGTGGCACCAAAAGTGGAAAAAGTTACCCCGGCCGCGCCGGGGTCGGCTGAAGGTTACCCCGGCCACGGCCGGGGTGGCCGGGGCAGGTTCTCCACCCATGCGTGGCACGTGCATAAGGGGTCACCCACATGCATCAGGAATAGTCCAATACTTGGTAGAAGGAATGAAGCTACCCTACAAAAATTACCGCGTGTAAATCGGTCAAGTGGTTGCTGAGATATAAGCCTCGCAAAAGCGTGACCACGGCCGGCCGGCCGGCCGGCCGGCTGCTCATACTCAGAAATTTCTGTTAATCTAAGGAAAGACTACGCTCGCTTCGCTCGCTCCGTAACTACGCTCGCTTCGCTCGCTCCGTAATGAGACTCCGCTCGCTTCGCTCGCTCCGTAATTACGTAAACGATTATAGCACAAATGATAAAACGATAGGCAGCCAGGATGCAAGGAGCCAAGATTCCTTTACTACTCGCAGCCGCAAAGAACGGAATTTTCCTAGTCATGCTACCATATCCTATCTGGAAGCGCTAATATCATACAACAACAGCGCATCTATGACGATTCGCATGATGCAAACATGTTCAATAATGTACATTACAAACTGAAAGCAGCTTGTTGCCTAGCAATCAGCAAAATAATTTGCAAGTTACCAGGCAACAAGTGTTTTTAGCATTGTTGATCAAGTTCCTGAAACGGGCTCTGAACTCTATAACAATAAACTTTGATACACTATTGTAATAGCCGTTATTGTTATAGCTAAGTAATAAATATTCTTTCTTACTGCTTTTTGCTGTGCTTTTTATAGGAAACAAACTTGGTGATTAGAGGCAAACATGTCAGAATATGCCAAAGTGAAAGTTGGAAAGCTCAAGCTTAAAGGTGAAAAGGAGAAGTAAGTCGAGGTAGTTGCAACGTCCCAGTTTGTGGCAACATGCTAAATTGAAATATTTGTTTTTTATATAATTTGTGCAGCATGAACTACTTATTGTGCATTCATAAAATGTTTATTTTTGCCTGGAATTTCTATGCCAAAAAGTTCCCCATGAAACAGTTGTTTGGGCAGGTCCGTGTTCCAGGATCCTTTGGGATTCCTCACGTTTTGTAATACCCTAATGTCGGTTTTTATGAGGGATTCCACATGAAAAACAGCCTTTCCAAATGCAGGCTCAATTGTTAGCCTTTCTGGCTCCATTTTTATGCCTCATTTTGCTCTACCATCATCAGCCCAGAGTCATCAAAGCTATTGCATTTTAAATAATTCAATAAAGTTGCTGCTATTTTGCCATGTTTGGTCCTTTTAACTGAAACTTCCATGTTTTCTGAATTCTTGCAAATGGCTTGCATTGTTAACATTTGATACAACTCAGCAATAGCATGCTGCTTGTTGCATCTCAATTTTTTGTGTGGTAGAAGAAATCAATCAGAATATTGAAGGGATGCATCAGTCCGCTGCAATCTGCATCAATAACCACAGGTGCCCAGCAGAGCCCACCACTGATTGGATTAGACAAAGTCAACCGATTCTGAATTTTAAAGTGCCTTGAAGACTTTGTAATTTGTTTCCTCTCGATATTCTTCACATTTCACTGGATTTTCTTTATTGCACCGTAATTTTGAATGTTAGGACTAGGCAATGCTGCATGGTAATATAATGATACTGTGTGTGTGTAATGATGCTCTTGTGAAACAAAAACTTTTCAAGAAATCTTTAGGGCATGTGTCAAAAGTGCTTCACATGCCTACCTTCTTTGATATCACTTCATAGTGCATTTGCACTGAAAAATGGTGAAAATGAAGATGTTCAAAGTGCATTATAGAATATAGGACCTTAAACTTTTTTAGCATAGGTCCTCTTTTTGAAAGTTGTTACCAATTTAGCACTCTGACAGGACTTTGCCAGCATTCAATTTGAATTATTATTCTATAACTTGTTGAAATGCTGATCCATGAATATTGAATAAGCTGAGGTGCTTGTATCATTTTGTCTGTTTATACACATCATGCCTAATGAATGTTAATCAACTTGCTCTGCTTGTTTCAGGAAACACAAGAAGAAATCTCACAAAAGGAAACATGAAGATGCAACCTTAGATGTGGCTGTGGGGAAGAGCGACTCAAATGTTCATGGTTAGCTTGGCTACTGTTGAATCATGTTTTAATATTATTTAGTGGTTTGCTCATGATGGAAATAAACCTTCATTTAACATTAATATTCACTTTGATTTTGGATAGAACTTTGATGCAAACAGGTGTTGGTATTTACTGCTTTTGATGCTTGAAATATAGTTTGCTATATGAGAGGCAAATCAGCAATGTCAGTGACATTAACCAGAAACTCTGTCTTTTTCAGGCGGCTGGTGGACTGTGTCCAAAGTGTCTGAGATCCGCGGCAGCATCGCCATTGAGCTCGGAGACCGAACCTACATCAAGGCACTGGACAATGGTCTGTTCACCATAGGCACGCCACATGCCGAAGGTAGGAGAATAACCACGCGCTTATAATTGTGAAGCAGCGATATATCAAGTGCAGAATGTCTTTTTTGCTAAAAATTCCTTTGAAATCACACCCCTGTTCCACCTTTTCTTGAAATTAATGATCGCTTAACTTCATTGCTAAAATTATTTTAAATGCATTCACACATTAAGTCCCAGCTGATGTATTTGCCCAAATGTTGCGTTCCTGGTTTACCATTCTCCCCACCTCTCCCTCTCAGGTGAAGGCCCCGACCCGGAGGAGGTCCTTATGGCCGTCCCGGTGGGCGACCAGCGCGTGGCGTTCAAGTCCGGCTACGGCAAATACCTGGGAGTGGACGCCAAAGACCGAATGGTGGGCCGAGCAGACGCCATCGGTCCCATGGAGCAGTGGGAGCCCGTCTTCCAGGTATGCTGAGAGATGGTTTGCAGTGCCGAGGATGAGGCCGGTTCGGCATAGCCATTTATGCTCGGCGATATTTTGTATGTGGAGCAAGAGTCGGTCATTATTCTCAAATACTAACAGTGCCGGCTAGAGAGAAGACTTTCGGAACTGCCCCGCGGCTGTCCGTCCAAGACAGATGTCGCCACTTATTCCTACCCCTACCGATGCCGCACACTACACCACACACACACACACCCGCTCTGAGGCCAGTCAAACAGTCGCCAGACCGCTGTGATGTCGCCTGTCCTCTGACTGACACCGAACCGGTGGTCGTTACCGTCCTACACAGACACATCCGTCTGGATCCCGGTCGGGGGCCGACGGGCCGACGGATGGCCGGCTGTCGACCGGTGTAACAGGCGCTCCGCGACCGACAGGCTCGGTCGACACTCCCGACAGGCCCGGTCGACACTCCCGATAGGCTCGGTCGACACTTCCGACAGGGGTGTCCAGGGGTGACGGATGTTGTTAAACGGCCACTTCAGTGAATGTAGTTGTGCTGTTGTGCCAATGCGGTGTTGTGGCTTAGAGCGATTGATTGCGTTTCTTCGTATCGGTGCCACTTGGCGGTAAGTGGTTTCCGACAGGGCTAGAATATGGCTGCGGATTTGCAATGAATTTTTATAGCGCTTTTTTATGTGAGGTTTTATCAGATAAAACCTCATACTTGTCAATCGTCTGGATCGTTCTTTTTTTACGGCACGTGTTACTTCTCTCTCCTCTAGTTATTACCTTTACCACCACTCATCAATCTCTTGTTTTCCTCTGTTCGCCCGCAGGACGGCAAGATGGCTCTGCAGGGCGGTAACAGCCGGTTCGTCTCGGCCGACTCCGAGGACTCCGTTGTAGTAAGCTCAAAAACCGCCTCCGAGCCGGAGATGCTCAGTATTAGATCACACGCCGAGCGGGTCGCCCCCGGCGGATCCGCCCCCAAGGAGGATGAGGGCAATCTCAACCAAGTCGAGATTAATTATGTGTGAGTTGAGGGTGGTGATGGTTCCGATAGTCATGGGGATCCTATTTCATGGTGACAAAACTTGATGTGATTAATTCGAGTTGATTTGAGCATGTGCGCACTGCGCTGATTCGTGTGGGGTGGGTGTACTCGTTTGGTGCTCTATGTGCGATGATTTTCATTTAGAGTCGCTGCTCTGTCAGTGGGATTGCGTTGTAGCTAGCCTGTCGTTCAGGGGTGTGATTTTCATTTTCTCGTCGATATTCTCTCAGCCACTCAATAATAGGGGTTTCCACCTCTTTCACTATATGTGTCGTGTCGTAGAAATTGATAACGTCAGTCTTCGAACTATGCTCGCTGATGGACATAATCATTGATTATAATTTCATCCTAAAAAGGCTTTTGTTGGTCTTGATATTAGGTATCGATTGCGCACTTTATTCCCCACCTGTTAACCCGGCTCCGTCCCTCCACAGCAAGCAGTTCCAGAAGTTCCAGGACAAGCGGATGCGTCTCCACGAGGGAGGTGCCGAGGAGCTGCGCACGGCGCGTGAACAGGGTAGGCTGCACGAGTCACTACTGGATCGACGATCGAAGATGAAGGCGGACCGATACTGCAAATGAGCGACGGCTGACCTGCTGCTTTAAGGTCAGCAGCTTTCGACGCTTTCTTTGAGTGTCGACTGTGGTTGTCAGATGTTCTGCATACACATGAAATGTACATCCGGGCACCCCCAGAGGTTCTACAACATCAGTGTACTACGGCTGAAGACGTAATGTGAGGTCTAATATCCACTGATTTGTACAAGTAGTCTGGGTCCCTCGGCACTCAGCATGTTTAGGAACGGTGGTTGCTCTCTTTGCGCCATCATTTCACGATATTTTTTTTAAGAAGAACCAACATTTAGAAACGACTGAGCTGTATCGTATACTGAACTAAGCTCGGATCAGTGTGACAAAAAGAGAACAAGAATAATCATAACGACTTAGTCCACTCCGACTAAGTTCAATGTTGAGTGGAAGTCGGCGTTCATCGATCGACTGTTCGTGTCGCAACATCACGTACAACATCTTAACGACTCTAAGAGGCATCTAGTTATCATTCCTACACTGCTGCTAGCTAGCTAAAAGCTAGCTAGCTTCGGTCACAGGTGGTTCCTGCGATTGTTAGTCGGCTCTCGTCGATCATAATGTCGCACACTTTCCTTCAACTCAGAGGTGGCGCAACAGTCGGTACCATCTCATAATGCAAGAAAACGCTCACGAATCATTGCAAATGTTGCTGATCATCTCATATTCGATGACTGTGTGATGAATAATGAATATATGCGAACTGTGGTATTGTTTTTACCGGACTGGCTTGATTTTGCTTGTGGATGGTCGATTAGAAAGGGAGGGAATAATGGGATGGTCGATTAGAAAGGAAGGGAATGTTTACGATGTATTGGACTTGCGTATAAAAGTGAAGTCCCTGGATCCAGCAAGTGCCATACTCAGCCGCACGACCGGTATGTATGATTACGGAGCGAGCGAAGCGAGCGGAGTCTTTCCTTAGATTAACGGAAATTTTCTGAGTATGAGCGGCCGGCCGGCCGGCCGTGGGGACGCTCTTCAAAAGCTAATATCTTAGGAACGGGACATCCGATTGACAAGCGGTCTTCTTTACTGAATGTCACTTGGACGTAAAAGTTCTGTGGTGTGATGGCCACCATGCGTTCTTGCCAACCACCGCACGTGGCGCGTGGTAAAGTTGGACATTTTTTAAGAACCCCCAAAATTGCAACCTCAATAACCGGCACAACGGTTGGGCCGATTGAATTGAAACTCGGTACACAGTTAGGTCTCCATCAGATGATTCATCTGCATGTGTTAAGGTTGGGGTGCTGCTGCACGTGCGCACGTGCAGGGGTCGTTTCCAGATCTCGAGAACGGCTGGACCGATGGCGCTCAAATTTGGTACACGGTTACGGAGCAGTTAGTAGGGTGCCGTGCACAAGTCAGTTGGGACCCATTTTGCACGTGCGCACGTGCAGGGTGCCGCTTCCAGATCTCGAGAACGGCTGGGCCGATTGTGCTCAAATTTGGCACATCGCTAGAGACCGGTTAGTAGGGTGCCGTGCACAAGTCAGTTGGAGGTACCCCCTCGAAATTTCGCACGTGCAAGGCCCACCCTCTCGCTCGCTCCGTTAGTCGCCCCATAAGGCGTTATACTGGTACTGAATTAAGGGAAAATCCTGAGTATGAGCGGCCGGCCGGCCGGCCGGCCGGCCGTGGGGACGCTCTTCAAAAGCTAATATCTTAGGAACGGGACATCCGATTGACAAGCGGTCTTCTTTACTGAATGTCACTTGGACGTAAAAGTTCTGTGGTGTGATGGCCACCATGCGTTCTTGCCAACCACCGCACGTGGCGCGTGGTAAAGTTGGACATTTTTTAAGAACCCCCAAAATTGCAACCTCAATAACGGCACAACGGTTGGGCCGATTGAATTGAAACTCGGTACACAGTTAGGTCTCCATCAGATAATTCATCTGCATGTGTTAAGGTTGGGGTGCTTCAGCACGTGCGCACGTGCAGGGGGCGCTCCCAGATCTCGAGAACGGCTGGGCCGATTGCGCTCAAATTTGGTACACGGTTGGGGACCAGTTAGTAGGGTGCAGTGCAAAAGTCAGTTTGGACCCCGCTTGCACGTGCGCACGTGCAGTGTGCCGCTTCCAGATCTCGAGAACGGCTAGGCCGATTGCGCTGAAATTTGGCACATCGCTAAAGACCTGTTAGTAGGGTGCAGTGCACAAGTTAGTTGGAGGTACCCCCTCGCAATTTCGCACGTGCAAGGCCCATCCTCTCGCTCGCTCCGTTGGTCGCCCAAAAGGCGTTTTACTGGTATCGTAAATATGGTATGTACATTTTCTATGGTCGATTGGATTTGTGTGGGTGCTGCTAACCACTTATGGCACATGACAAGATATTTGAATTTGCTCGATTATTGGTGAATAAACAGGTTTCTTAACCACAATCTCAATTAAATGTAAACCGGATGTCTCGAGAGATATCTGGAATGAACCGACCCGAAGCAGTTCGCTTTAGCCGCGAGGCTTGGTACTTCGATTCTCAACTCCGCCGACTGTTCTTAAAGAAAACGTCAGAATTCGGTGTTGAAAATTAACATTCCCACACAGCCGGACTTGACCCGGTTCTCCTATCTACTTAGTTTTGGCCTCCGCAGGCCATCTTCGTCGGGGTCAGATGACGAGTTCCAAACAGGTTCGAACTGAGCTGCCACCAATTACTCTCGGCTCAGCTCTCAGATGCTCCCCTTGGGGGCTTGCCTTAGCGATTGTGCTGCAAAGTGATTTGCATACATGGGCATATTCAAGCGATTATATAAATAATAGAATAACGCTACCAGTCGATCCCAATAATCAACATCCAGGAAACATTTATAGACGCCTATCGCCTGCCGTCAGGTATTCATCGCGGTAGAACAATACCAGTCAAACACACACAGAGTCGCACAGTATTGTTCGGCGTCCGCATTGAGCGTGACGATCGACGCACACAATGGTCTCCGTCGCTCTCAGGCTCATTCATATGCGGCGCCCGAGGCGGCGGCTGGGTTTGGAGCCCCGACTGCACGCACAGAGCGGGTCAAAGCCGCGCCAGGTCGACTGAGGTCACGCCTTCTCAATCGATTTAGGTATGCCCGGATGCTGGTTTGGTCTTAGTGCACAGCTGATGATGCACTAAGACCAAACTGAGGTGAGATGATCCTTCGTGAACGACGGAGGTCTCTTGAAAGCTCGTCGCTGCTGACACCGGGAATTATCCCCCGTCGTTATTCGTTAACTTATGACATGGTATGTGTCGACGACGGCTTGACACACTCTACAGCTAGTATAGGGCTGACCCCAGATGGCTGGAGACGGCAGAAGCTGTGACCCTGTGGTCCAGCAGAAGGTCCGTATCGGGCCGAGCCCTTGTGCAGTTAGTCCAACCTGTTGCCTCGGAACAAGGTCTCAGGTTTTTGGTCTAATCGCACGCCCGGAACGGCCCTGCCTGGCTCAGCTACCGGCTGATCGCTGGGTCCGTCTGCGGCTGAATTAGCACGATAGAGACCCATCCGATGGGTTTAGAGCAAAACTGACCCCTCTTCTGCGTCAAATGCGTCTTGGCTAAGGCTCCCCTCGGCCCTTTGTGTTCAGCCTTTGTACTGTTAATTTGACCTACCTCCGCAATCGCTGTTGTCCTCTGTTTCGACCACCTACGTGACGTGCTGTGTGCAAACATTTTTCTCTCCTTGCCTCCATACCTCCTTTGTGCGTCTACCTTTGTCACTCCTACGAGCGTCCTGTACTTTGTCTTCATCTTGGCTCTCTGTTCCTGATCGAGAAAGAGAGAGAGAGAGAGAGAGAGAGAGAGAGAGAGAGAGAGAGAGAGAGAGAGAGAGAGAGAGAGAGAGAGAGAGAGAGAGAGGGGGGAGGGAGGGAGGGAGGAAGAGGATGAAAGAGGAAGGCATGAGGAAAGTGAGGGGATAATCGGAAGAGAAACTGACTCTATAGTCTCAGCAACGGGATAAAGGTCAAAGGACGTAGATCAAACGTATGAAAGACTGAAAGAAATGAGAGAGATAGACGAAAATAATGCGCATTGTAGATCATGAAGACAAGAACGGCAGCTCATATCTGTTTCGTTCAGAATGATTTCACTGGTCGTGATTTCACTGAACCGTCAACCGATTCCACCCCAGACCCCATTTTTTGATAAAAATGCATACCTTCGAATAAAATAACCTTCACACTCTTCTTCTTTTGATGGATAAGCCATGAACTTAATATGAATTGCTATTCGTCTCTTTTTCTTGCAGCGCATGCCGCATGGTAATTTTTAGTCATCCCAACTGGAGAGGCTTCGGGGTTATTCATCCCTGCTCGCACTGACACACCCAGACAGATTGTTTGTTTTCCTCTCATCTCCTTGTCATCCCCTCCCTCTCCCACGTCCGCCCACGCCCTCCCCTACCACCATCGTCATTCACAGGCGGCCCTGCTCAACTTTAGCCCCGAATTTATGCATACAATCTTCGGCGTTGTCGGCGTCGGCTTCGGATGGATGGCCAGAGCCGTCAGAGTTCAGAGTTGCTAAGCCGAGCCTCGAGTGGATGTTTTCGGCCGGCCCGCTGCCGTACTCCGTGGTCTAAAATACGCGGGGTGGCAGGGAGAATGACGGGATTGGTGCAACGCTCCGAGACTTGAAATGGTGTTGGGGTTGTCCTTATCTGGATGATCATGATTTGCCGATGTTGTTATGTGTGCAAAAACATCGGGATGTGGATAAGTATAAATGGGCCCTGACGAATTCGTTGCTTAAAATGATCGTCGATAAAGTTGTACTTACGTTTTACACATTCGTGACGTTTCAGTTTTCCTTCAATCACTTTACGTATTTCCCTACCAAAAGCCCTTATTTAGATCAGATTAATTTCATCGATGTCACAACGAAAACATTGTCACAGCTTGCCTCAAAACAGAGGCGGTCCCATTCGTTTGACATCCGCCTTCGTCTATGATTGCCATTTACCACCGAGTTGGGGACGACGGCCCGGCGGCCCGGCCCCACCACCGAACTGCCACTTGAGCCAATGCTATCAGGAACGGCTCGTTTCGCTCAAAGGCGTCGTGGCGGCGCCGCTCGGCATCCGTCTGAATAATGATGCCGTCTCTGGCTTTATTGTGCCGAGCAACTGGTGAGCCAGCCGGCTGGGAGAAATGGTCGTCACCCCTGCGTGGAACCTAACCGAGTGGCAGGCGGTGCGAACGAGGTAGACGAAAATATATGTGTGTTAGTGACGATTCTGTTTAGGGAAGAAATTACTGTTCTTACTTGAACTTTTCAAGTAAGGAGTAAGGTTCCTTTACAAGTAAGGTTCCTCCTTACGTGTAAAGTAAGGAGGAACTGTTGGTTAGTGTAGTCAAAACAAATATGATTTCCCGAGTAAATCTTTACAACCTTCAACCGTATATTTACGATAAATACGGGCAGCAAAAGTTGTGTTTAAACGTCAGAGCACATCATTTTTTCATCTGCACTATACATACCAAGCAACTATAGTGTTCACGTTCCAGTTAACATTCCGTCATGCATTTTGGTGAGATAGCAAACGGCTCAGCCTCAGCAGCGCCGACAACTATGTATACCCATCATTCATACCTAGCCACCCGCGGAAAGCTCAGTGCACACCTTCATACATCAATAACCGTCTCTTTTCCTTATGAAGCATCACATCCGCGACCGCGTACAATGTCGCTTTGAGACGTTGCTGAGTAATGACGGAAGCCATCA